ACGTCTGAGACCTGCATCACTTCGGGCTTTCCTCCCACATTAAGCTGACACGCCGCGATATAACTGGAATAGTGTTAAAAGCGGCGTTAAACCCAACTCACTCACTCACTCTTTTCCTTGTTCAAATATCAAGAAGCAATTTCAGTGACGGATATTGTGCAATGTTTACAGTTTGTTAATTGGCTTCCCTGCATCCATTCAATATACCATTAGCAGTGTATTTCAAACCCACACTGTCTTTCGCCCACATAATCTGAACAGATTATTTCTCAAATAGCTTCATGATAGATTGGTTTGCAACAAGTTGAGTATTTTACTAATATATCACAGTTTAGAAAAATTGACAAATATATAAAAAACAAATTACGACCATGGATATTAAATAAACATAACGCTACAGCTGCACAGTTCATAGTTCACTGACTGTGTCACACAACCAAGTGTCAAACATTGGATGTTTTTTTTCCGCTCAAATTCACATCGTTTAATATCTCATTGTTTCTACATTTTTCTGTTGAGTATGGCTACGTTCATCCTGTAACACGTAAAACATGTACTCAGTCACGCTCAATCCATCTCCCCGAGGTAAAGGAGTTAAGTGGCTGTAAAAGTCCAGTTTCGCGTTGAAACTGGACTTTTGGAGTCAGTTAACTCCCTTGCCTCTGGAATATGCGCTCAATCACACATCCATGGTTTGAACACAAGACCGCACCATGTTGCGTTAGTGCTGTAGACAAATTAGAATTCTAGGCTGAATAGGAAGTCCCCCTAACAGGCACTGTTATGTTTGTTTGTTGTTTAACGCTGCATTCAACAATGATCCATCTAAATGACGGTGGTCTGAAAATATATAGTCTTGACCAGATAATCCAGTGACTGAAATCATGAGCGTCGCTCCAAGCAATTAGGATACGATGACATGCATCAACAAAGTCAGCGAGCCTGACCACTCTTTCGACAAGTATGAGTTGTTGAAGACCAATTCTAACCCGGATCTTCACGGGGGCACTGTTTATGGGAAGGTAATATAGCCGAGAGCCGCCCTACATCACCTGATATAAACTTGGATATATGTGTTGGCGTTGTTCTTAAGACGACAAGGCTGTAGATTGACGATGAGTGTATATTGTCACCTTGATTGATTGATATAGTTTCACCTGATCTACTCTGATTGTATTTTCAACATGGACGACATCCTATACATAATTCACACTGGTTGACAGCTACAGCTAATGCAACTGCATGGACGGGGCCAGAAAGTAGTCACTTACACTTAGGCATCTCATCAGCCAAGAGAGAAGAAAATCAGATTGACAAGTATATTTTATCTGCCTCTCTGATAAGTGTCGTATTTATTTGATCCACTGTTTTCACTTATTTTATCAAAAGAAAAAATCAAACGGCAAATATATTTAGCCTTTGCATATAATATAGTATGATATCTAGAAATTTAATACATTGCTCGTTTTCCTCGGTTCCATTTGTGTATTTCACAAAACTCGAAAAAAGGTGTGGTTTTTATGTTGATTGGTTGGTCACAATGGTTTACGTGGTTGATGAACACCTGTACCACGACAGCGTTGCCCTTATCAACCTCATCCACACTCAGTTACTTTCGTGATAGAAGCAAAACAAATGTCTACACGGGTTCGACAAGAGATGGTGCTCGTGAGGGGACAAGATGACAAAGGCAGGGAGCCCGTGAAGATCCGGGGTAGAATAGGTCTTCAGCAACCCATGCTTGCCGTAAAAGGCGACTATGCTTGTCGTAAGAGGCGACTAACGGGATCGGGTGGTCAGGCTCGCTGACTTGGTCGATGCATGTCATCGTATCCCAATTGCGTGGATCGATGTTCCTGATGTCAATCTTTGGATTGTCTGGTCCAGACTCGACTGTTTACAGACCACCGGCATACACCTGGAATATTGCTGAGTGCAATAGACACACAGGTAGACAGACAGACAGACAGGTAGACAGACAGACGGACAGACAAAGGCAGGTGCCTTCTTGGATTGCGGCCATGGAGTTCATAACATGGCCAAATAGGCAGTGGATCTTGGAGACCAGGACCGCAAGACCTCTAAGAATGTGCTGGCAAGCATTACTTTTCCAGAGGACTATTACAGGATGATTGGAACATGGCTTGGGACACGTCAGCATTCAACTAATAGACGGAATGTTCATCAAAACGTGTCCACCGTACTTTTGTTGCTCACTGTATGATTTCATCTGTAGCCTAGCCGAAGTGTTGTAAACGTTTCGTTAACTGTTCGCTATTGTCGATAGCATTGCGCCGCCAGCCGGCCCACAATACTACTGTGTAGTCGGCCCACAATACTACTGTGTAGTCGGCCCACAATACTACTGTGTAGTCGGCCCACAATACTACTGAGAAGTCGGCCCACAATACTACTGAGTAGTCGGCCCACAATACTACTGAGAAGTCGGCCCACAATACTACTGAGAAGTCGGCCCACAATACTACTGAGAAGTGTCCATACATCTTCGCAGTGACTGGGCTTGAAATTGGAGGGGCATCCTGTGAGCAGTGAGACTGACATTACTGGGACCCGACTGTGGTTTAGGTGTACGTGAAACCATACATTTCTACACCGAGTTCTCACTGTAATTCAACATTAACATTGCTTAATGGGCAAAACTGATATTTCAATTGATCAAATCTGGCTTCCACAGGAGATATACTTGGAAGAATAGTTTTGGATGACAAAATGAATCTTACCTCTTTTGATATCAAATGTATCACCACAAGCGTTGGATCATTAAACTTGTATTTCCTAGGATATTGAATGCTGTGATAAGATTTCATCAAAATGCTTTCAGTCCACTGTGATGTCATCGGTTACCATGACGTCATAATCAATTGACTTTCTTTCTTTCTTTGTTGTTTAACGCCGCACTCAGCAATAGTCCAGCTATATGACGGCGGCCTGTAAATAATTGAGTCTGGACCAGACAATCTGGATTGACATCATGAACATCGATCCACGCAATGGGGTCGATGAAATGCATCAACCAAGTCAGCGACCCTGACCACCCGATCCCGTTAGTCGCCTCTAACGACAAGCACAGTCGCCTTTTATGGCAAGCATTGGTTGCTGAGGACCTATTCTATTCCGGATCTTCACGGGTCTAATCAATTGACATCACTTATCTCACTGCCACTGAAGCTGGTGAGCTGTACTATTTCATACATTGGCTTTTACTTATTACTGACTGAACAGTTGGAAGAATGATTTTATTTGGGGTTAATTAGAACCACACTATCCTGTCTTTTGATATCAAATATATCCAAATCAGTACCAAATTCCACCACGATCAAAGAATTGTCAAGTTCCAAACGACCTTTGAGTCTCTTCATCGATGTGTTTTCAACTACTAGGTGCCAAAGTTGTAGAATGGATGAATATAACTTTGAATAATATAAACATCATGCAGTGTATTATGTTTGAGTAAAACACACAGGGAAAGAGTATGAACAGTATGCTTAATGGTTGCAATATATACATGACCATTAATGAATCTTGAATGTCTGTTGCACAATGATTGTTGTGAAATCAGTGTGGTTATTGTCCTGTTTGTTTGTTTGTATGATTAACACCGCACTCAGCAATATTCCAGCGATATGACAGCGATCTGTAAATAATCAAATCCAGTGGTTGATATAATGAGCATCGATCCACGCAATTGGGATACTATGACATGCATCAACCAAGTCAGCGAGCCCGACCACCCAATCCCGTTAGTCGCCTCTTATGGCAAGCATGGGTTGCTCAAGACCTATTCTACCCGGATCTTCAGGGGTCAGGTTGTTGTCCTGAACCTAATGTTTATATAGTGGTAATTATGAAAAAAACTTTGTAAAAACAGTATCGTATACCTTTACACAAGCTTTCTCTAGGGTCATTGTTTGTTGTTTGATGCCAAACTCAGCAGTATTCCAGCTATATGAGGGCAATACGTACATAATCGATTCTGGACCAGACAATTCTGTGATTGGTATGATGAGCAACAATCCACACAGTCACCAGGCCTGACCACCCGATCCACACAGTCACCAGGCCTGACCACCCGATCCACACAGAAACCAGGCCTGACCACCCGATCCACACAGTCACCAGGCCTGACCACCCGATCCACACAGTCACCAGGCCTGACCACCCGATCCACACAGTCACCAGGCCTGACCACCCGATCCACACAGTCACCAGGCCTGACCACCCGATCCACACAGTCACCAGGCCTGACCACCCGATCCACACAGTCACCAGGCCTGACCACCCGATCCACACAGTCACCAGGCCTGACCACCCGATCCATTTGGTCGCCTCTTACTACCAGCACAGGTTGCTGGTGACCTATCACAACCTATCCCTTGTATGCTGTTTTCAAGGGTAGGGGGGGCACGGGTGGCCCAGTCGTCTTAGGCGCTGCGATTCGCTGTGCAGAGTTGCGTCCCTTTGGCACACCAGAAACCTATGATTGTGGGTTCGAATCCCAGTTCGCCCCGATTATGTTTCTAGGTTTGTCAGCACAATACCCGTGCTCGTGGGTTTCACCAAAGTGGTAAACATCTGAGACCTGCATCACTTCAGGCTTTTCTCCCACATTAAGCTGACACGCCGCGATATAACTGGAATATTGTTAAAAGCGGCGTTAAACCCAACTCACTCACTCACTCACTCACCTCAAGGGTAGGTGTCACGGCGCTCCTCACCTTTCCATTGTACACAGAACGTGTCTGCCATGTTTATGTATTTGGGTGTATACATTTCAGTTTGTTGTTGCATCAATGGACAGTTGCAACTACTTGATAAATAATCTTCCACAAATTATACTGTGGCTATGTTTCAGGAGCATTTTCTGTTATCCGATATCCTAAAGATATTGCAGTGGGGAGAAAAGTTTACCAGATAAGAAGTACAGTCACAACATGCTTCAATAATCAACAATAAATACCAGACACAACAGGACGCCCAAATACATACTTAAGTCTGCTTTATTTCAGCATCACAACAGCTGATATAGTATATCATATATGAATGTTCACATTGTGATAATATTGTGCATGACAATATAGCCTCATGCGTTTGATTTTGATCATAAACAATCGTTCACAATCTCTGTATAAATAATACAATCGATCCTTATGCATGCAAGAAATAATTGAAATAAATGCATTATTGGGTGCAATGATAGCAGGATGCTGGAATATCCAGAAAGTGAAACTGACTAAGGCATGTCATTAATTAAAGATACAATCCTACCACTGGAACTACTAACTCAGATTGACAAATTCTAAAGCATGTCTACCAAGAAGCTCCAACGATGCAAGTACTGAATGCCCAGTGATTTTGTCGCAATCTGCCGAGAAGTGAGTAGGTTGTCTCAACACTTTTAGCAGAGTATTATCCAGCCACGTCAAGCTCTATAAACATGGAGGGAATTTAACCTTTTCTCATTGGCAATGTCTTGACCTCAAGCCTAGGAGGCTGTATAATTGTCTTCTACTGACGCGATAGGGTAGTCAGGCTCTGATGGGATTGGGCAGTCAGGCTCTGATGGGATTGGGTAGTCAGGCTCTGATGGGATTGGGTAGTCAGGCTCTGATGGGATTGGGTAGTCAGGCTCTGACGGGATTGGGTAGTCAAGCTCTGATGGGATTGGGCAGTCAGGCTCTAATGGGATTGGGCAGTCAGGCTCTGATGGGATTGGGTAGTCAGGCTCTGATGGCATTGGGTAGTCAGCCTCTGATGGGATTGGGTAGTCAGCCTCTGATGGGATTGGTAGTCAAGCTCTGATGGGATTGGGTAGTCAGCCTCTGATGGGATTGGGTAGTCAGGCTCTGATGGGATTGGGCAGTCAGGCTCTGATGGGATTGGGTAGTCAGGCTCTGATGGCATTGGGTAGTCAGGCTCTGATGGCATTGGGTAGTCAGGCTCTGATGGGATTGGTAGTCAAGCTCTGATGGGATTGGGTAGTCAGCCTCTGATGGGATTGGGTAGTCAGGCTCTGATGGGATTGGGCAGTCAGGCTCTGATGGGATTGGGTAGTCAGGCTCTGATGGGATTGGGCAGTCAGGCTCTGATGGGATTGGGCAGTCAGGCTTGCTGACTTAGTTGAGGCATGTTGTATCCACAGGACTTTTTAGCCATATTCATGCATATTCACGGACCAAACCACTCTCAACCTCAAAGGGTGGACTGGTCCATAAAGGGTCATGAATGTGCATGAATTCTGCTAAAAAGTCCTGTGATCACATCCCATTTGCGTAGATCAACGCTCATGAGGTCAATCAGTGGATTGTCTGTTCCAGATCCGATTCTTCACTGCAGTCATACAGCTGACTGCGGCAATACACAACAAACAGACTTAACGAAGAACATCATCTGTTCACACAGTCGAGACATCGTGAGCCTACAAATGAGGAAATAAAGTGGCACAGCTAACCAAGGGAATTAACTCCGCAGAGCAACCCATCCCACTAAATGTCCTGTTGATGGTCGTGACCATAATCTTGATATTACACACAAATGGCTTCAAATTACATTCTAAAATGTAGAACACTAACAATCATTCATTCTTAACAACATTAAGAAATAAACATATCTATGGAAAGTTTATTCTAGATATATCAAATGGGTATATTGTTAAATACTACAAACATACATAATGTCCTGTACATGATTGTTCAACCAAGGTATTACTGCTATATATTTGTCTTGATGTTGTACAAAAATATGTGCAGTGTAAACATCACCTTTAATGAAATAAATATGTTTTACTTTTCCTCTTAAATACACACCTTCTAACCGCACACACATTTAGAATCAAGAATTTGAAAAAAGCCATCTGCCAACTTTGTTGCTGTCTTGTGTCAACTGATTGGACAATACTACATGCTATTTATTTTCATAATGTTGGATTTATTTTTTTCAATTTGTCTTTCAGCTTCCATTCATGTTTAAGACTGTTGATCTCGAGTTTGAATTAAAGAGAATGAATGTAGCATTCAGTGCCGTAGCCAGCCGGGGGGCAGGGGGGGCAGTTGCCCCCTGGATTGTTTATAGAAAACAATTTTCCTTGTGAAAGTTAGCTTGAATAAGAAAGGAATAATCTTATTTGCCCCCCCTCTGTCAAAAAAAGTTAACTACGGCCTTGGCATTGATATATATTTCATTGTCCTCTTCTGCCATTTTGGATACAAGCAGTGATACATCCACAGTGATTTACATGGATGGTTTATAATCTATGCCTGTTTTACTGGGTATAATATTTTGTTTTCATTTTTATTAACTACTGTCAATTCAGTGAGTGAATAAGTGAAGGAATTGTTTTTATCAACTTACAACCCTGGCAACAACACATTTCATCACAATCTGAAGGATATACAGCTCTGTCTTTGGGGCAAGATTCCACATACCAGGCACCTCACAAAACAATATCACCACAATGATTCTGATTATGTTACAGTTACAACCATCACATTGCCAACTTCATTCAATAGCATCAACACAGGGTAAAATCGAAATGACTCCTTACTCCGATCATAAAAACCAATCTTACTTTGGACATGTTTATGAATCGCACAATTTGCGAAATAGTTTGGTTAAGTAATAGCACTGTTCTAATATAATAGAAATATCAAAACACAATGAAAAGAAACCTGAAAAGTTTAAATGATGGAAATGTTCTGAGAAATCAGGAAATATACCTGTATATATTGCTACAAGCAATAATCCTACAACAATATCTCAGCACTGACTGAGAAACACTAAAACAAGATTTTCCAACTAAACTGAAGAAATAATCAGAGCTTTAAATACTGCTTGTTGTCTTCAAATCTGGTTTGGTAGGTAAAAGTTGTGCCTCCATGACACACCAAGTCATGAGAGCCAAGGAAATGTGAATCAACACTCACAGCCATCGAACATACACAGACAGCTCGCATCCAACACGCACACAGAACTGGCATTGTACCATCTCCATTTATGCAGGGTATAATATCAACATTCTATCATAATAAATACCCTGGCTCCATCCTCTACCATAGCTTCATTTGGGTTACGATGTCCCAATTGCCATGTTGGAACTTCGCACTGAATTCTCTCACAGGTGAGAGCAAATTCATTAGAAAGCATCTTCCAGTACCATATAACCTGATCAGATTCCTAACAAAGAACCAGTCCACAGTACCGGTACCAGTATTTATAATACACTGGTTATTCAAGGATGGCATCGCACGTACAGAGCTAGCATCACACATCAGGGAACACATGACTGAACACCTCCTTGTAATGGTTGACAAAATGGACCTCGAGACCCTCAGTGATGTATTCAGGAAGATCCGAGAAGTCCTTCTTGTTCTCAGCAGGCAAGATGATGCAAGTCACTCCCACTCTCTTGGCCTGCAACATCACAACGGATTATAAAATGTTTTGTTTGTTTGTTGTTTAACGCCACACCCAGCAATATTCCAGCTAGATGACGACGGTCTGTAAATAATCGAGTCTGGATCAGACAATCAAGTGATTGACATCATGAGCATCATCCACAAAATTGGGATACGATGACATCATCAACCAAGTCAGCGTGCCTGACCACCCGATCCCATTAGTCACCTCTTACGACAAGCATAGTCGCCTTTTATGGCAAGCACGGGTTGCTGAAAACCTATTCTACCCCGGATCTTAACGGGTTGATCATGAGTGAGTGCCATGAATGTGATCATGCTGACAGGTTGTTGTTAAAAGGGATTCAAAGCCTGGAAACATTGCTGACTTATAAAGAACAATATACATACCCATTTTAAGTATCTCATTCAAAATTTCAAAAACATTGCATTCTTCAGGGTATCAAGAATATCGAAGCCATCGTGCACTGTTTTTTATAAATGTTTGCCAAACTTAGATTTTGTTGACTTTTTGCAACATTAAACCAGGCTGTCAGTTGTAATGGGGACGTATGACATCATCCAAGATTCATTTTGAACAGCTGTTTGAGTATGTGTAAAAATAGTTTTTCGAAAATTACAGATAACATTTTGTGTTTTACAAAGCCGGCAACCATAAGATGTTTACAGGGTGTTATTGAGTATTTCATGAATGGAAAGTTTAACATCTGAAACCTGCTCATCCACAAACAGTTGGGCACATTGCAACAATCTGTGTCATATTGTCTTCTGGCAAAACAAAAGACAGCTGACTCCTGTCATATGTCAATGCAAACTATGACTCAAGCCAAATGTATTTATTTTTAAAGGTGAGGTGACATGAAATGTGGTTTGACTGCATTTGTAGAGCGATGTGTGAGTGCTTGTACTAGTCCTGGGTAATGCTGATATACCATGCTGCATTTTTAACATGAATACTCCACTCAGACACAGTGAACTGATTCCAAGGCGACCACTCCTTGTTTTAGCCCCTTACTGCCAAATGCCAGGCAGGGTAACAGCTTCTTCAGATATGATGGGGACGGGGATCGAACTACCGGCCTTCCATTCTCCAGCTCAAAATTAAACTGATCCAGCATGGGTGATTCCAACTTATTCTTCTCAAACAACACGTCACACAATTGTACTGATGTGGGAAGTTGTTATCTTCAGCAACCCATGCTTGCCATAAAAGGTGACTATGCTTGTCGTAAAAGCTGACTAACGGGATCGGGTGGTCAGGCTCGGTGACTTGGTTGATGCATGCCATCGATCCCAATTGCGTGGATCGATGCTCATGATATCAATCACTGGATTGTCTGGTCTAGACTCGATTATTTTACAGACCGCCGTCATATAGCTGGAATATTGCTGAGTGCGGTGTTAAACAACAAACCAACCAACCAACTATTTATTGATATCTGCACATTGTAATAAACATGGTCAAGTTGGTTGCTGAGGACCAAGTCTCTACATGGATCTTGTCTTTGTTAAATAGATATAGACAGACAAATAGCTACCACTGTCATGGCTGATTGCCCACTTGGGCTGAAAAGCTGATCACATGATCACATAAGCCATCATCAAATTGCAACAACCTTCGGCACATTATACCACAGCATGTCAGGTAAATGTGGGAGGAAAGCCCAAAGAGATGCAAGTCTCAGATGTTTACCACTTTGGTGAAACCCAGAAGCACGGTATGGTGCTGACAAACCTAGAAACATAATCAAGGCGAATCTGGGATCCAAATCGATGATAATAGAGTTCTGCATTGCAAAGGGACACAAATCTGCATAGTGAATTGCGATACCTTAGATGACTGGGGCAGCTATGCTCCCCACTAAAGATCTCAAGTTATCAATGTGAAAAGACAAGGAACATCCATCTAGTCATCCAGACTGAACATGAAGATTCAGAAATGAGGAGTTACATGATGAAAATATGGGGGAAACAGCATGGATCATACAACAGTCCATAGTTATAGACAGAGTCTACCAGTCAACCATAGTTCAGGGAGTGTTTGTTTGTTGTCTTAATCCACTCTCAATATTCCAGCTCTATGATGACAGTCTGCAAATCTAATCTGGACCAGACAATCCTTGCTTGTCATCATGAGCATCGGTCGGCGCGATTGGGATACGATGACAAGCATCAACCAAGTCACAAGTCGGACCACCTGATCTGGTTACCTTGCCTCTAACAACAGCATCTGAAGGCCAATTCTAACCCAGGTCTTCACAGGGGCAGGACTAAATGAAAACCTACAGCAATTGTCTTCTCCTTGATTCCCCCGACCGGCAGAACCTTCCCTGTGAGAGACACCTCCCCCGTCATGGCCATGTTTTGGCGAACAGGGCGTCCGAGCGCCAGTGATAGCATCGCCGTGGTGATGGTGCAGCCAGCACTAGGACCATCCTTCGGCGTCGCTCCCTAGCAACAGAGAGTCATTGCAAATATTAGGAGTGTAGGATATTATGTGTCATTAGACCAGACTTTCCTTGTGCTTTTTTTTTAGCTGAATGGTTATCATTTCTTTTCACTGACTGTATCGTTATGAGTAACAAACATTTCTTTCCATTGACGATACTTATGTAAGAAAGTTTTCTTATGACCCGATGTGGACATAAAGGCTACAACATCTGTATGGGATCAAGCAAGAAGGCGCCTCTCCAATCAGATAGCTATTGACTTCATCTCTTACTTGCTTTTCAGCAATATTGCCCTGTGTTCAAACATCATAGGATTTAGTTAATGCATGCAGTGCTGGAGGTTGTGAGATGGGACTGTTGGATGGCAGCTTGTGTGTGTGACAGGATCTAGTTAATGCATGCAGTGCTGGAGGTTGTCAGATGGGACTGTTGAATGGCAGCTTGTGTGAGTGACAGGATCTAGTTAATCCATGTAGTGCTGGAGGTTGTCAGATGGGACTATTGGATGGCAGCTTGTGTATGTGACAGGATCTAGTTAATCCATGCAGTGCTGGAGGTTGTGAGATGGAACTGTTGGACGGCAGCTTGTGTGTGTGACAGGATCTAGTTAATGCATGCAGTGCTGGAGGTTGTCAGATGGGACTATTGGACGGCAGCTAGTGTGTGTGACAGGATCTAGTTAATGCATGCAGTCCTGGAGGTTGTGAGATGGAACTGTTGGACGGCAGGTAGTGTGTGTGACAGGATCTAGTTAATGCATGCAGTGCTGGAGGTTGTGAGATGGGACTGTTGGACGGCAGGTAGTGTGTGTGACAGGATCTAGTTAATGCATGCAGTGCTGGAGGTTGTGAGATGGAACTGTTGGACGGCAGGTAGTGTGTGTGACAGGATCTAGTTAATGCATGCAGTCCTGGAGGTTGTGAGATGGGACTGTTGGACGGCAGCTTGTGTGTGTGACAGGATCTAGTTAATGCATGCAGTGCTGGAGGTTGTGAGATGGGATTGTTTGACGGCAGCTTGTGTGTGTGACAGGATCTAGTTAATGCATGCAGTCCTGGAGGTTGTGAGATGGGACTGTTGGATGGCAGCTTGTGTGTGTGACAGGATCTAGTTAATGCATGCAGTGCTGGAGGTTGTGAGATGGGACTGTTGGATGGCAGCTAGTGTGTGTGACAGGATCTAGTTAATGCATGCAGTCCTGGAGGTTGTGAGATGGGACTGTTGGATGGCAGCTTGTGTGTGTGACAGGATCTAGTTAATGCATGCAGTGCTGGAGGTTGTGAGATGGGACTGTTGGATGGCAGCTAGTGTGTGTGACAGGATCTAGTTAATGCATGCAGTGCTGGAGGTTGTGAGATGGGACTGTTGGATGGCAGCTTGTGTGTGTGACAGGAGCAAGATAATGCATGCAGTGCTGGAGGTTGTGAGATGGGACTGTTGGATGGCAGCTAGTGTGTGTGACAGGATCTAGTTAATGCATGCAGTGCTGGAGGTTGTGAGATGGGACTGTTGGATGGCAGCTTGTGTGTGTGACAGGAGCAAGATAATGCATGCAGTGCTGGAGGTTGTGAGATGGGACTGTTGGATGGCAGCTAGTGTGTGTGACAGGAGCAAGATAATGCATGCAGTGCTGGAGGTTGTGAGATGGGACTGTTGGATGGCAGCTAGTGTGTGTGACAGGAGCAAGATAATGCATGCAGTGCTGGAGGTTGTGAGATGGAACTGTTGGACGGCAGCTAGTGTGTGTGACAGGATCTAGTTAATGCATGCAGTGCTGGAGGTTGTGAGATGGAACTGTTGGACGGCAGGTAGTGTGTGTGACAGGATCTAGTTAATGCATGCAGTCCTGGAGGTTGTGAGATGGAACTGTTGGACGGCAGGTAGTGTGTGTGACAGGATCTAGTTAATGCATGCAGTCCTGGAGGTTGTGAGATGGGACTGTTGGACGGCAGGTGGTGTGTGTGACAGGATCTAGTTAATGCATGCAGTCCTGGAGGTTGTGAGATGGGACTGTTGGATGGCAGCTTGTGTGTGTGACAGGATCTAGTTAATGCATGCAGTGCTGGAGGTTGTCAGATGGGACTATTGGATGGCAGCTTGTGTATGTGACAGGATCTAGTTAATGCATGCAGTCCTGGAGGTTGTGAGATGGGACTGTTGGATGGCAGCTTGTGTGTGTGACAGGATCTAGTTAATGCATGCAGTGCTGGAGGTTGTCAGATGGAACTGTTGGACGGCAGGTAGTGTGTGTGACAGGATCTAGTTAATGCATGCAGTCCTGGAGGTTGTCAGATGGGACTGTTGAATGGCAGCTTGTGTGAGTGACAGGATCTAGTTAATCCATGTAGTGCTGGAGGTTGTCAGATGGGACTATTGGATGGCAGCTTGTGTATGTGACAGGATCTAGTTAATCCATGCAGTGCTGGAGGTTGTGAGATGGAACTGTTGGACGGCAGCTTGTGTGTGTGACAGGATCTAGTTAATGCATGCAGTGCTGGAGGTTGTGAGATGGGACTGTTGGACGGCAGGTAGTGTGTGTGACAGGATCTAGTTAATGCATGCAGTGCTGGAGGTTGTGAGATGGAACTGTTGGACGGCAGGTAGTGTGTGTGACAGGATCTAGTTAATGCATGCAGTCCTGGAGGTTGTGAGATGGGACTGTTGGACGGCAGCTTGTGTGTGTGACAGGATCTAGTTAATGCATGCAGTGCTGGAGGTTGTGAGATGGGATTGTTTGACGGCAGCTTGTGTGTGTGACAGGATCTAGTTAATGCATGCAGTGCTGGAGGTTGTGAGATGGGACTGTTGGATGGCAGCTTGTGTGTGTGACAGGATCTAGTTAATGCATGCAGTGCTGGAGGTTGTGAGATGGGACTGTTGGATGGCAGCTAGTGTGTGTGACAGGATCTAGTTAATGCATGCAGTCCTGGAGGTTGTGAGATGGGACTGTTGGACGGCAGGTAGTGTGTGTGACAGGATCTAGTTAATGCATGCAGTCCTGGAGGTTGTGAGATGGAACTGTTGGACGGCAGGTAGTGTGTGTGACAGGATCTAGTTAATGCATGCAGTCCTGGAGGTTGTGAGATGGGACTGTTGGACGGCAGGTGGTGTGTGTGACAGGATCTAGTTAATGCATGCAGTCCTGGAGGTTGTGAGATGGGACTGTTGGATGGCAGCTTGTGTGTGTGACAGGATCTAGTTAATGCATGCAGTGCTGGAGGTTGTCAGATGGGACTATTGGATGGCAGCTTGTGTATGTGACAGGATCTAGTTAATGCATGCAGTCCTGGAGGTTGTGAGATGGGACTGTTGGATGGCAGCTTGTGTGTGTGACAGGATCTAGTTAATGCATGCAGTGCTGGAGGTTGTCAGATGGAACTGTTGGACGGCAGGTAGTGTGTGTGACAGGATCTAGTTAATGCATGCAGTCCTGGAGGTTGTGAGATGGGATTGTTTGACGGCAGCTTGTGTGTGTGACAGGATCTAGTTAATGCATGCAGTGCTGGAGGTTGTGAGATGGGATTGTTTGACGGCAGCTTGTGTGTGTGACAGGATCTAGTTAATGCATGCAGTCCTGGAGGTTGTGAGATGGGATTGTTTGACGGCAGCTAGTGTGTGTGACAGGAGCAAGATAATGCATGCAGTGCTGGAGGTTGTCAGATGGGACTGTTGGATGGCAGCTTGTGTATGTGACAGGATCTAGTTAATGCATGCAGTGCTGGAGGTTGTGAGATGGGACTGTTGGATGGCAGCTTGTGTGTGTGACAGGATCTAGTTAATGCATGCAGTGCTGGAGGTTGTGAGATGGAACTGTTGGACGGCAGGTAGTGTGTGTGACAGGATCTAGTTAATGCATGCAGTCCTGGAGGTTGTGAGATGGGATTGTTTGACGGCAGCTTGTGTGTGTGACAGGATCTAGTTAATGCATGCAGTCCTGGAGGTTGTGAGATGGGACTGTTGGACGGCAGGTGGTGTGTGTGACAGGATCTAGTTAATGCATGCAGTGCTGGAGGTTGTGAGATGGAACTGTTGGACGGCAGGTAGTGTGTGTGACAGGATCTAGTTAATGCATGCAGTGCTGGAGGTTGTGAGATGGGATTGTTTGACGGCAGCTTGTGTGTGTGACAGGATCTAGTTAATGCATGCAGTGCTGGAGGTTGTGAGATGGGACTGTTGGACGGCAGCTTGTGTGTTTGACAGGATCTAGTTAATGCATGCAGTCCTGGAGGTTGTGAGATGGGACTGTTGGATGGCAGCTTGTGTGTGTGACAGGATCTAGTTAATGCATGCAGTGCTGGAGGTTGTCAGATGGGACTGTTGGACGGCAGCTTGTGTGTGTGACAGGATCTAGTTAATGCATGCAGTCCTGGAGGTTGTGAGATGGGACTGTTGGATGGCAGCTTGTGTGTGTGACAGGATCTAGTTAATGCATGCAGTCCTGGAGGTTGTGAGATGGGACTGTTGGACGGCAGCTTGTGTGTGTGACAGGATCTCGGTACTTCCACTATGCATACCTCAGGCACATGCAGATGCACATGAGCCTTCTGCAGGAAGGAGTTATCAGGCTGGTGTTCTGTCAGGTAGGACTTGGCATAGGTGTACGCCAAGTTAACACTTTCCTTCATGACGGTACCCAGGTGACCGGTCACCTCCAGGGAACCAGCGTCAGTCGAGTCCGGCAAGATGGGTTTCTTGTTGACTGTCTCGATGTACAGCGTGGACCCACCTGAACAGTTGGCACAAGCATGTATTCCGCCATTAGGGAAGAGAGTGAGTTAGTGACTATATCACCTGTAAATAACATGAGTCACACAAACCAGTGACTGACAGCATGTGCAAAGATCTTTGCTCAATAGCAATGGTGGACGACAATCACCTGGGTGCCGTTGTACAAAACAACCTTAGCGCTACGACTGACGTAAGTCTATGTTAAGGTATGGGAGTTACGATCACCTTAGCACTAAGATCGCTTTGTACAACGGTACCCTGGTCCTCAATAGCCAGGCTTGGGTGCTGGGAAGTTATTCTACTCCTGAATCCTCACTCGGTTTCAACCTCTGGACAATAATTCAAATGGTGTTTTTGATTGCTGTGTTTGTCAGTTTGTTGACTCAGCAATATTCCAGCTACATGATGACAGCCTGTAAATAATTGAATCTGCAACAGGCAATCCAGTGATCGATAGTGTGGGCAAAGATCCATGCCATTATTGAAGTCAGATCTAACACCTCAGTGCCACTACACGCTTTGTGTAGCAGTAGCAATTATAATGAGATTGATATCCTGCCTGTTTGATAATGTAACTCATATAATAAGTGCATGACATATAAGGGATTAACAAAATATAATAACTATATATCATATATATCTCAAGGCACATTGGCAGTCCATGGTGAAAATACTTAATGACCTTGCTCTGTACTAAAGTTGACACTGGCAGGTAAATTCCATCAGTAATTGATAAAAAACATAATGACAGATAAGAGAATCATCAGGTGCAATGTTCCATATATATTATGAACTTTTCAACAAAGGCCATACTTTACTTAACATTCTGAACTTGCTAAATACTATACTTCACATAGGCAGATTAATTCCATCAGTTAGTGTATAAAACAAAACATAAAGATGGTAATACTTGGGATAATAATCAGTTCATTTTATCCTTCAAAATTATTGATTAAATATTTATTGGCTGTTAAAATCAAGGGACACAGTTTGTCATTACTTAGTGATATGTTGTTCCAACATTTTTGCCACCCTCTGATACATAATTTTTGTAAATAATATGAAGGATACTTGCTTTGTTCACCAAAAGGCGTCTTTCCAAGGCAAGGGAATTAACTCACTATAAAAGTGCAGTGGAAACAGTAATTTCTATGGCCAGTTAACTCCCTTGCCTCAGGAAGATGTTGAATGCTGCTCAAGGCCACACAAGAAATATGTATTCTCTGATTGGCTGTCTGGAGTTTAATTGATGTTTGTGGATTGGTCTATTCTGGTAAGCACCCCTCATTCTGGGATACTGATATTTGGAAACCATACTCTCTTGTGTATTATGTGCCGTCAAAAACTACAAGCACATAGATTTTGTGACATTTGCTTTCAGTAAAATATTCTGTCTAAACACAGCAAAGTTGAGATGAAAAAAGAATCTTCAAAATATTCTAATATATCTCCCAGCAAAAATTCTTAAATACAGTTTGAACACTGAAATACACCAAAGCTGCCGATGCCGTCAATGACAAGAAGGTTTAAAGGGCACCACGATAGGTAATTAAGGGGGTCAATTTTTCTGCTACATTGTTGTAACATAGAGAGTTTCATCTTTGACATTTGGGGTTGTGAAATGGACCATTCATTGGCAATTGTGAACAATGCTCCATCACATTTCTGTCATGTTGAAAGCAGTTTTTACTTCATAAAGATCCACAGAACACCGTCTGCTTCTCCCACATACCCATGGAAGTCCAGGCAAGGCCCATCACTACGCCTGGGGGGGTGTCCTCGTACATGCGGTCGGTGGTGAAGATCGGTTTGCCAACGTAGTCATGGAGGTTGTCCACATCTACACGAATGGTATCAATTTTCTCCCTCACCATCTTGTACGCAGCCTTGCGATAGATCTGAATCAAACAGAAGCTCCGTGTTATATCCGAGCTACAGTACATCTGTGGCCTCACAACAAGTGGCAGCTTCAGAAGATTGACTGAAGTATATAGTCTTACGGTCACCTCCTATCTTCTGAGGTCAATATGCACCATGAGAAACCTATCTATTTTCTCAGAACTTCCAGGCACTGAGTGACATAATTTGTTTTTGCAGAGCCTAGTCAGCAATATTCAACCCAAATCACAGCAGCCCATAAATAAGTCTTTGACACGTACACCAGTGTATAACAGCGTAGAATCAGCGGAATACCGGCCTCTTAACAGGTTTAACAGATAAATCCCTGATAAGCCTCTCAGTGATAGAAACAGCTTTACTCCACTAAGTCCTTATGATGATAACATATAGCAAAACCCTTAAAAATGGCAAATTTCAGCTTGTCCTTATGACACCTTACTTATTTGGCAGTTTGGGAAGGACAATAGGACTAGTGCCCATATGTATTGCTGCCTCTTATATAGCCTTCTCTGAAGCAAATAGACATGTACACACAGGGCCATCTTCCCGAGGCAAGAGAGTTAACTGACTATAAAAGTCCAGTTACCACCCTTGCCGAACTAGGCTGGTATTATGGAGTAACATTTTGGCTGGACTAACCAGTCTATGCATAGTCCAATCAAAATCGCGCAACGAAATCGAAATCCTGTTCGTAAACTGTCGTGCAGATTTCGATTTCAGTCGATTGCAGGATTTGTAAAGCATGTGCACTGCCAACTTGTTGTCAACAGATATTTTCCACACCTTTTCATGTTTTTAATCAAGGTGTTCGTGTGATTTGATGCACTTTGCGATGTAAGACCCGTTTTATCACAATATAGATCTTGATTATCGATCAGGTCGTCTTGACTGGGTTCCGCCATTTTGTTTGAAACAAATGCAAGTGATGGAATCGGATTGGTCCATAGGAGAGGCTTATAAGGGAGTTAACTCGTAATAACCACTGGTGGCAATATGATCGAGCCCAGGAAATCCAGCCCAGTTCGGCAAGGGTGGAAACTGGACTTTTAAAGTCAGTTAACTCTCTTGCCTCGGGAAGATGACAAAGGGCTCGATTTAAGGAAATTGCACCAGATGAATGTTGACATGAAAACCTAGTTGCAGCATGGTCCCATAAATTTATCAAATTTGAAACAGGCATGTCTTCTGCCAGTGACACTGTCAGTAAATTAATGACGTATTGCTGCACATAATCTTTAAGTTCCACTGTTTGATGATGTCAAGCCCCCAAAAGTATGACAAACTACACATAACACCAGGATAAATGATATATAATGGTTAATAAAGCTTCCAGGTACTGTGTTCAGGTACATTACCATGGTCGACATTTATTTTTCGTGAAAAGTTTCTCTATGTGTTTCTGGAGGCTGCGCACTCCGTTCTCCACACAACTCTATGCCAAATAGCAAAAACCTTCTAAACAGTTTAGTGTGAAAAAAGCCCACCTTCTCTATGTGTTTCTGGAGGTTGCGCACTCCGCTCTCCCTACAGTAGGACTTGATCAGTGTTGTGATGGCATCATCGCTGATTTCAATGTTTTCCTTGTGAACTCCGGAGTGGTCCTGGGCTTGTGGAATCAGGTATTTCTATAAAACATACACACATATCATACACACATATCATACACAAGCTGAGTTTGCAGTTTTACAGAACTATTGTACTTATACCTAGTGATATGCATGCCAGTGTGTGCCTGTGGCTACTTGTACTAGTCCATACTTATGATGGTTTTATAGCGCAAGTCCACTGAGAAACAATGCCGCAGTTTAACATGGAAACCCCATTCACAGTATACATACTCTGAGCCGACTAGTCTTTGTTTTATTTCCTTAATGGCTTGGTATGGCACGGCTGGGCAGATGCTCTTTCCACTCAGCCATGGAGTGGACTTTTTATGTAAAAACTAAGATACAGAATCCACAAATAACCACCATCTATGTTAAACACACAGTTCTATACAGGTCTTGGTCACCAGATAATCATATCTGGCATTTAGAAGTTGGAGGCTAACAAAGGACACAAGATATATGGATTTTAACTTCAGTATTCTTGATGCATTTCCTCTTCATGTGTCCAGGGTGGAAACAAGCTTGTGAAGTGCCAGCTTCAATGGACCAGAGGTTTCTGAGGACATGGTGTTTATGGTGCAAAGCGATGCATCTTGATAGACATTTGGAACATGGCCAAAGTTCAAAAGTCAAATAAAGGTCAAAATATAAAATATCCTTAAAAACGAAACATTTGAGTTGAGCCCCACTACTAGTGAACAGAAGCAGTGTGGTAATGGCCATAAGAAGTTTTAGCTTCCAGTGTGACTCCAGACAATGGAAAAATTCAAAATATCCCCAAAATATACATGTTAAGTCCCACTCCCACCCCCCAAAATATGGCTGACTAATGACAATAAATAGCGCTCATGACAGACAACAGATCCAGGACAAGAGAAGATGCACGACAGACACATTACAAACAATTCAAGGGCCATTTCTACATGCTAATGAATTGTTAATCTGGAAATTGTTTTATCCTGACAATTCCACTGAGAACAGTGGCATCCTGATTAAAAGGGTTTCATTGTGCAAAGATTACAGAGGTTGAAATCTTTGTGTCTTACGTCTGAAGAACGTTACCTACCTCAGCTATAGCCAGTTTCTCCTCAGCCACATATCCCGACACATCGATCATCTCCATCCTGTCCCTCAGTGGTTCCGGGATGGTGTCGGTGATGTTAGCGGTGCATATGAACAACACCTACAGGGTCAAAGGGTGCACACGTTACTCAGAAAACATCATTACATGATTCTACAACAATCTGTATTCCACACTGTTGCAGATGTCAGCAGATCAACGTCAACAAGATTTTGTTTGTTTGTTGTTTAACGTCACACTCTTCTTTTTTCTGATTCAATATTTTGGGGTTTGTTCACAAACAGTAAGTGGTTTGGTTTATGGGTTTGTTTGTTGTTTAACGCCGCACTCAGCAATATTCCAGCTATATGATGGCGGTCTGTAAACAATCGAGTCTGGACCAGACAATCCAGTGATTGACATCATGAGCAACGATCTACGCAATTGGGATTCACTGACATGCATCAACCAAGTCAGCGAGCCTCAGTCGACAAGTCAGGGAAGCTCAGTCACCTTTTACGGAAAGCATGGGTTGCTAAAGACCTGTTCTTCCCCGGATCTTCACAGGTCCAATGTCAATAAGAAAAAGACATTTCATGGAGTATAAGATCAAGTAAATAAATATGAATCAGGTTGACTTGACACATTGCATGAAACCCCAGTATACAACATACCTATCTTGAGTGAGTGAGTGAGTGAGTGAGTGAGTGAGTGAGTGTGAGAGTGAGTGAGTGAGTGAGTGAGTGAGTGAGTGAGTGAGTGAGTGAGTGAGTGAGTGAGTATCACAGCGGGGGACACCAGTATGGGCTTCACACATTGTACCCATGTCGGGAATCGAACCCGGGTCTTCGGCGTGGCGAGCGAACGCTTTAACCACTAGGCTACCCGACCGCCCCCTTGAGTGAGTGGTGTTTTACATATAGTCAATATTCCAGATGTAGTACACATAGTATGTAGTACATGTAGTTTGTTGTTTAACGCCACACTCAGCAATATTACAGCTATATGATGACAGTCTGTAAATAATCAAGTCTGGACCAGAATGATGACACACAATCAACCAAGTCACCGAGCTGACCATTTGATCCCTTTGGTCACCGTTAACGACCAGCATAACTTAGTGGGAATCTACTCTAAGACAGGATACCCACAGGGTTTTGAAATGTGCATCCTGTTGTTTCTTTCAATTTGTCATAAAATTATTGTCAGCAATCTGAAACAAGAGCCATCAGAAGACATCAAATTCCCCTGACCCCCATAAAATTCAGAAGAACAAATGATCTGACTGTTACAGTACGTCCAACTGAGAGAATTTCTATCTAATCTGTCTGTATACACAAGTAGTTTTTGAGCTATCAAAACAATACCAAGGAATTGAGATTCGGGACTTTGTATTTTTATGTCAGGTACACACGAAGAACAGAGACAATTTCAAACTTGTTGCAGTGGAAACGGAAATCATAAAAATTCTAAAAATAGCAAAAGACACTACTTCAACCCCTTCAACATGTACTGAGATTGGATGAAATATCTTGAATAATGTTATTTAATAGCTAAATCTAACTTGTTTCAATGGGAACAGGGACAAATACAATTTTGAAAAATTCCTAATAGCAAAAATAACCACTCCAGCCCCTTGTTAATACCAAGTTTGGATTAAAAATAATTCATGGTTTTTAAGTTATGCTCCGAAAACGTCATAACTATATCATCACCACCACCCCACCCATCCTCCCCCCCCCCCCCCACCCATTATATCCCAGTAGGAGACAAAAAATCAGGACAAAGACTAATTCCAACCCTGAAATCCCACAGGCGTACAGAAGACAAATCTTGGACAGGCAAACCGGTGCTATATTGCATGACATCTATTGTCAATAATGCTACATAACCATTGCAACCCTCCCACAAACCATCCACATCAACTGTCAATAATGCTACATAACCATTGCAACCCTCCCACAAACCATCCACATCAACTGTCAATAATGCTACATAACCATTGCAACCCTCCCACAAACCATCCACATCAACTGTCAATAATGCTACATAACCATTGCAACCCTCCCACAAACCATCCACATCAACTGTCAATAATGCTACATAACCATTGCAACCCTCCCACAAACCATCCACATCAACTGTCAATAATGCTACATAACCATTGCAACCCTCCCACAAACCATCCACATCAACTGTCAATAATGCTACATAACCATTGCAACCCTCCCACAAACCATCCACATCAACTGTCAATAATGCTACATAACCATTGCAACCCTCCCACAAACCATCCACATCAACTGTCAATAATGCTACATAATCAGCCAGGTCACCATTGCAACCCTCCCATTCTCATTAGCTGTCTTATACAACAAGCATTGAGAAGTGGGAATCTATTCTGCCCTAGAATCCCTGAGGAGAAAATGAATCACTATCGATAATATTGAAATGAAGTGTCACGTGCTTTCTAGAGATATTACTCAATATCTGGAAACATGGCCCACCTTTGACAAGTCCATGGAGACGTCCAGGTAGTGGTCCAGAAAGTTGGCATTTTGTTCTGGGTCCAACAACTCCAGGAGAGCTGATGATGGGTCACCTTGGTAACCCTTGCCGATTTTGTCCACCTGTATAAGGAAGATTAGAATATTTAAGCCAGCTGCTTATAACAGGGAAAATGGCAAAGTCATTATTGGCAGCCCCAGCAAAACAGATTTAAGCCATTCAAATATGATACCGTTTTTTCTCCTACCGGGTAACTCAAATTAAAATATGTATCTCAATGTAACAATGTAATGGTTACATTTTTTACACAGGACGGGGTCCCAGAGGTCACATGCGACAGTGTTAAGGCCAACACTGAAAACAGTGGACCCTCTTTGAGCAATTTCACAGTGAAAGATTATAAATCCCAGCGTTAGAAATTGGCACTAGTCCTGTAGTCCTTGCCAAACTGGCCAATAGTTAAGGCATCATAAGGACTAGTAGAAGTTTGCCCTTTTTAAGGGTTTTGCTATATGTTATCATTATAAGGACTAGTGGACTAAAACTGTTAGTTTCTACCGCTGTTATAAAATCCTCTACAATGTTTTACATTATGCAAATCAGATCAGTGCCACAGGGAAATCTATATATGGTCCTTGAGAAAATACAATTGCAGTTATTTTCACACAAATACTGCAAAATTGTCAGTCTTGTAGATCTGTCAACAAAATGGGGACTAAACCGTGTCATATCTCCCACTAGTCTTAAAAAAAGCCCAGACTTTCCAGTCTTACAAGTCTTTAAATCACTGATCCCATGAGAGTTTGAAATGACTAAAGTTTGCATGTATGTGTCTCTTGACCAGCATAACCCTGTGGATCACCCATCTTTGAAAGTTTACTTCATAGCTGCCTCTGTAGCTTACCTCATCAATGAGAACCAGAGGATTTTCTGCTTTGGTTTTTTTTAGGCACTGAATAACTTTCCCTGGCATGGCGCCTACGTACGTCCGCCTGGAGAAAAAATATCATCCACTGACAATTGCACCAAAACTGACTTATAGACTGTCAGACATGAAACACACATACCTGTAGAAACATGTATCATACTTTAGTGTGTGTGTGTGTGTGTGTGTGTGTGTATGTGTGTGTGTGTGTGTGTGTCTGTGTGTATGTCTGTGTGTGTGTGTCTGTGTCTGTGTGTGTGTGTGTCTGTGTGTGTGTGTGTGTGTGTGTGTGTGTGTGTGTGTGTGTCTGTGTGTCTCTGTGTGTGTGTGTGTCTGTGTGTGTGTGTCTGTGTGTGTGTCTGTGTGTGTGTGTGTCTGTGTGTGTGTGTGTGTGTCTGTCTGTGTGTGTCTGTCTGTCTGCTTGTACCAGTAGGGACCAGTCTTAAAGTGCTAGCTCACTGATATACCAAGCTGCAGTTTAATAAGGATACTCCACTCAGACACAGTATACTGAGTTTGAGCTGAACAGTGCTTGTTATATATCCCTTTAATGCCGAGCTCCAGGCAGGGTAACAACAAGTTCCACATTTGCAATAACGTTCTCCGACCTTCGGCTCTCCAGGCATACATTCTATCCACAAGTTGTGGTCACCAGGTGCTTCAGGTCACATGACCAGTAAGACACTTTTCATCTCATGATAGGAAGTGCCTTGCTCTCGGCAAACATGATCTGGCGAACACTGCAGTATTCTTTAACTCTGATGTGAATACAGTTTCACCGGGTTTCTAAATTTCATATAGCTATAACATAATCTCTACACCTTACCAATTCCAAACACATCAAATTATGTAGATGTATGTTTTCTATGAGTATTTCAATTTTTTTGCTTACCTGTGACCTTTGATCTCAGCTACATCGGTCATGCCGCCTACGCTGAATCGGAAATACTGCAAACAGATTATATACCGATGTAACTCACAATTACTAATCTCTGTAAAATGTTTTTATAAAACCAACAGTCACGAGGACAAACAGATTCTCCCAGTCCGTTGCATCAGATTGGCATCAATCTTTTAAACCAATATTTCAGCATATATAATATAGCAACAAGGTTCTCAAGCTCATCTGAACTATGAAGAAATAATGGCGGCCATGTTTATAATCGGTCTGGAATTCAGTGATCAGTAGTTAAAGACACCACAGCTGGGTTTATTCATACAAAGTTTGAACTCGATATCGTCTGCCATTTTCTTAGGCGATAATGAAAATACAGTAACATTAGAAAAACAGGGGAATATGAAATTATGCAGACAAAAGACCTGTGCATAAGAACTGTTATAATGATCCATGCATAAATAGCTGGGTAATGGACAAGAATGACAATTTTAATCTGGTCACAACTGCTACCATGTTTCAAATCGGATCAGCATTCTGTAAGCAGCTGTTAGAATGATCCGCTTTAATCAGTATTCCAGTTATATCTCTGTGTGTCGGCTTAATGTGGAGGAAAGCCCGAAATGAGCACCAGTTAGAGACACCACAGCTTGGATCATGTATACAACGTTTCTGCTCCATAAGGCCTTCTGGTTTCAGTGGAGTTGTTGAAAAGATAAAAGACCAGACAGACACCGAGCCATGACAAAAGCTCACTAGGCTTTCAGCTCATTTTCATCACCAGAAACGATTTGTTTGTTTAATGCCACACTCTGCAATATTCCAGCTATATGACGGCGGTCAGTAAATAATCTAGTCTGGACTAGACAATCCAGTGATTGACATCATGAGCATGGATCCACGCAATTGGGATATGATGACATATATCAACAAAGTCAGCAAGCCTGACCACCCGATCCCATTCGTCTCCTCTTACGACAAGCATAGTCACCTATTACGACAAGCATAGTCGCCTTTTGCAGCAAGAATGGGATGCTGAAGACCTATACTACCCCAGATCTTCACGGGTACACCAGAAACAATATTGATTAAATATCATGAATATTTAAGGTTCATGCTGAGGCATGAACTTATGACACTCTGTTCAAAAAGACATGAGAACATCCTTCCATCATACTGAATCTATCAAGTGTAGATTAGGAAGTCTCCATCTGGCTTAGTCAGTGAGTATGTCTACTGTTGTACATTCCCTGGATCCTATACATAGTTTATATTACCGGTAATATTGAGTGTAACTGTTAATAATCTAAGACCGGGGGCAGAAGGCAAAATATTTACAAATTTCTCATCATTCATCATTTTCTCTCTTTCAAAGGTAAGATATCTATGTAAAACATATACTCGTGATTTAAAAAATTGCCATTACTTCATGTAGATTTTAGCTTCAAATAAGTGATAGTCTTTATCAGCATGTCATTCAGAGTAGATAATACTCAATCAATATGTCCATATCTTCCCAAGACCCCAATATCTGGCGGTATGATCACAACATTATTGCCCTAGTGCAGCAGTGGTATCCTGGTGGCTGATACAGCAGTATATACCATATAGCGCCATCTGTCATACCATGCAGTGAAGAACATCAACAGAGCATACAGTACTGTAAACGTTTCAATAAATACATACCATATTCAACGTAATAAGCGCCCCGCTCTAATAAGCGCCCACGGGGATATTTGCTAACATATTGGCTGGTGAACAATCCGAATTAGCATCCCTTCTGATTGATCGATGTACACAAGACTTATTTATTCGCCTATAACACTTGCGTGTTATGTGCACCCTTAATTATGGGCATTCAAATTCTGGAAAAATATATCTGTCATATATAAACATTTCAGGCTCTCAGCATAAACCACAAAATTTATCTTTCAACTGTGTTATTTTCACCAAAATAATATTCTAATAAGAGCCCCCTATTTCTAATTCTGAGAGCACCCCAGGCGCTTATTACGTTGAATACGTCTATTTCTTCAATGCTTTGTCTCATGAATAACTAATAACTCTCACCTTCGGCTGAAACATGTATGAGGTTAAAGAGGGGACAGCTAGGGAATGAGTCAGGATAAGCATAAATGATATTTTTACTTTAAAACATACATATTTTACCTTATCCTGACTCATACTTATTGCTTGAATCCCACAGAAAGTTGTGGGTTCCATCTGTATGTGTGATTTAGACCATGATCTGTTCATATAACGCCATGGGAACGTGAATCTTCTTAGTCCTTCTTATATCCTTGTGGTGTACCACCTCCTTCTTGGTGAAAAGAGAGGACTTAATCTTTTAGATTTTGTGAATTTTATAAAGTTAGTTAAGGAAAGATTTTCCTGCATACTTTAAATGGCTAAAGTGTTAAGAGAAGGTCATATTCTTGACACAGTCATTCATGCTCTGAATTACATAGTAAAACAGGGGACATGGACTCTGGGTCATTGGTTACAGGACAGTAACCTGACGTCAGTAAGTCTGCGTGAACGTGGGTGAGTGTAGTAAGGTCTATCTTCTAGACATGGTCAGTTGTGCGCCTGCTAATGGTCCGAATTGATCCTCTGTAGCAAAATCTTTAAGATAGTGAGTGGTGAAGACACAGTCCGATCTCCAAAAACAGCTTTCCATAATCATCGGGACGGAGTTGTTGCCATGAAGAGCTAGGGTGGAAGCTACAGCTCTGACTTCGTGTGGGTTGGATGCTGGGTCTTACCCTGCTGCCTTGTATGCTCTGAGTGTGACTGCTCTCATCCAGAAAGAGACGACTGTTCTAGAGACATCTGCTGAAGTATTCCTTGATAAAGGAACAAATAGCCTTCTTAAATTATGTCTTCTAGAGCTTGTTGTTTGTAGGTATATGCATAAGGTTCAGACTGGGCATAACAGCAAATCTTCAATATCCTCTGATCTCAGAATGTATGAGAGATGTGGGACATGGAATTGTCTGTCTGGTTGCCCTGGCAGCTGGTTCTTGGCAATAAAGTCTCATCTTAGACCAAAATGAGCCAATGCATAATCGCTGTTGTCAAAGCTTTTGTGACTGAAGTCAATCACATGACTCGCTAACATTCTGGCAGCAGTGGCTGCATCATATATTTAACGGCAGCTTGTTCTAGGGGTTCATAGGCATTGCTGGCAAGATGACTCAGTGCCATATTCCAGTCCCATGCTGGGGCTCTGCTGTGAATTTCGGTTGTTGATCTTCAAGTCTATAAGATCTTAGATGCGCTAACTTTGGTAAGTTTGATTCTGTTTTACATGGTCAAAACCGAGTTGATGGCTGCTAAATATGTGCCCAGTGTTGAACCATTAAGGTTTCTTGTGCATCTCAGGTAGAGAAGAATTCAATTTCTTGTGGGGAAGTGGCTTCAGCTGCTGAAAGTCCCTTTGATCACTTAAACTGGTCAAAACACTTCTTCCTCTTATGGTCCTATAAATTCCTTGCAGAACTGTGAAGAACTAAGGAGACTTCCTTAGCTGCCCCGGTTGAAAAACCTCTTTTAGCAAGGTTGATCATAATATGTTTCATGTGTGAAGCTCGTAGAGGTCCGGTCTTGGATGAACTTGCTTCATGTGAGGATGAAGACCATTTGGCCAGTTTTAGAGTTTCAGGGTTTGTGTCTTTGCTATTGTGACGAGGTCTGGAAACCAAGTCCTTGCCGGCCAATAAGGTGCATTCCCAAAAGGAGTGGAACATTCTTCATGTGCATGATCAGCTGTAATATCAGGTTTATCACTGTTGCTGGTAGGAACACATACACTATGTATGATCAACAATAAAAGAGGGGAGATTTCTTCTTCGACTTAGAAGAGCTCTTATTGAGAGTGTCAGTGTCTCTGCTGCCCTGGGAAGACTTTAATGTAGACATGACTGTCTTACTCTGTGATGAAGGGAGAAAACTTGGATCTCTACAATACTATCAGCTGGTAAGCCTTCCTTTGAAGAAGGTGTAGGTGTTACCTCCCACTTCTTTCTCTCCATGGTTGTCGTGTCTGAAGTAGATGATGCAGATTGTGATGTTTCTTGTCTCTTCCGGTCTAACTCCTTCCTTTGCATGACAAAGAGGTATTGTGGAATTGTTCTTCTCCTAATGGAGTGCAGAAACTACACTTTTCTACTTCTACTAAAAATAATCATTAGATATGATGTATAGATGTTAGAAGAATGTAATCCAAGCAAATTGTTTTTATGAAAAATGGATAATGTTGAACAGACGGCTTGGATTACGAGCTCAGGAAGCAATTGTCCAGCTACTCATTTGGCACAAAAATGAGAGAGTGACAAGCCTACCTGCTTGGTCACATGCTTCCGATACACATGCACAGCCTAGGGGTGCATTCAGATAAGCTGTTTTTCTGTTCTCTGGGAACACTGTTCAGGAGGTTTCCACTACCTTTCGGAAAAAAGATGAGATAAGCAATACGTATGAGTCAGGATAAGGTAAAACTATAGTTGTGAGCAGTATCCCATGTATGTTGGGCACCTACCTCTCTGTTGAGGGCCCTGGCAATAGACTTGGCTATGCTGGTCTTGCCTACACCGGGCGGCCCATAGAAGCAGAGGATCTTGCCCTGTACCGAGCCCTTCAGCTGAGTCACAGCGATGAATTCCTGCACAGCAAACACCATTGACAATGTTGAGATATGAAAGTGTATGATCTATGCTTCAGCATGCTCAGTGCAATTACATATGAGTCCTTCTGACTGAGATATTTGGGGTAGAGTCTATGTTTTAGTATGCATTTGACTTTTCATTTGACTTGCCATTGCAGTAACGTAATGTCACCGACATTTTATTCGTCCATGTCTAAGGGCAAGGTTTAACAAGGAGCTACTGAGCAGGATGCGCTTCATGACATTGTCCATGTGTTAAAGGTAAGGTTAATAGGGCGCTACTGACTCCATGTGTTAAGGGCAAGGTTTAACAGGGAGCTACTGAGCAGGATGCGCTTCATGACATTGTCCATGTGTTAAAGGTAAGGTTAATAAGGCGCTACTGACTCCATGTGTTAAGGGCAAGGTTAAACAGGGCATGACTGACTCCATGTGTTAAGGGCAAGGTTAATAGGGCGCTACTGTCTCAATGTGTTAAGGGTAAGGTTTAACAGGGAGCTACTGAGCAGGATGCGCTTCTTGACATTGTCCATGTGTTAAAGGTAAGGTTAATAGGGCGCTACTGACTCCATGTGTTAAGGGCAAGGTTTAACAGGGAGCTACTGAGCAGGATGCGCTTCATGACATTGTCCATGTGTTAAAGGTAAGGTTAATAGGGCGCTACTGACTCCATGTGTTCAGGGCAAGGTTTAACAGGGAGCTACTGAGCAGGATGCGCTTCTTGACATTGTCCATGTGTTAAAGGCAAGGTTAATAGGGCGCTACTGACTCTATGTGTTAAGGGCAAGGTTAAACAGGGCATGACTGACTCCATGTGTTAAGGGCAAGGTTAATAGGGCGCTACTGTCTCAATGTGTTAAGGGTAAGGTTTAACAGGGAGCTACTGAGCAGGATGCGCTTCTTGACATTGTCCATGTGTTAAAGGTAAGGTTAATAGGGCGCTACTGACTCCATGTGTTAAGGGCAAGGTTTAACAGGGAGCTACTGAGCAGGATGCGCTTCATGACATTGTCCATGTGTTAAAGGTAAGGTTAATAGGGCGCTACTGACTCCATGTGTTCAGGGCAAGGTTTAACAGGGAGCTACTGAGCAGGATGCGCTTCTTGACATTGTCCATGTGTTAGAGGTAAGGTTAATAGGGCGCTACTGACTCCATGTGTTAAGGGCAAGGTTTAACAGGGAGCTACTGAGCAGGATGCGCTTCTTGACATTGTCCATGTGTTAAAGGCAAGGTTAATAGGGCGCTACTGACTCCATGTGTTTAGGGCAAGGTTTAACAGGGCGCTACTGACTCCATGTGTTAAGGGCAAGGTTTAACAGGGCGCTACTGACACCATGTGTTAAGGGCAAGGTTAAACAGGGCACTACTGACTCCATGTGTTAAGCGCAAGGTTTAACAGGCCACTACTGACTCCATGTGTTAAGGGCAACGTTTAACAGTGAGCTACTGACTCCATGTGTTAAGGGCAACGTTTAACAGGGCACGACTGACTCCATGTGTTAAGGGCAAGGTTTAACAGGATGCTACTGACACCATATGTTAAGTGCAAGGTTTAACAGGGAGCTACTGACTCCATGTGTTAAGGGCAAGGTTTAACAGGGCAATACTGACACCATGTGTTTAGGGCTACGTTTAACAGGGCACTACTGACACCATGTGTTAAGGGCAAGGTTTAACAGAGAGCTAATGACTCCATGTGTTAAGGGCAACGTTTAACAGGGCACTACTGACTCCATGTGTTAAGGGCAAGGTTTAACAGGGAGCTTCTGACTCCATGTGTTAAGGGCAAGGTTTAACTGGGCACTACTGACTCCATGTGTTAAGGACAAGGTTTAACAGGGCGCTACTGACACATTATGTTAAGGGCAAGGTTTAACAGGGCACTACTGACACCATGTGTTAAGGACCAGGTTTAACAGGGTGCTACTGACTCCATGTGTTAAGGACCAGGTTTAACAGGGCACTACTGACACCATGTGTTAAGGACCAGGTTTAACAGGGTGCTACTGACTCCATGTGTTAAGGGCAAGGTTTAACAGGGCACTACTGACTCCTTGTGTTAAGGGCAAGGTTTTACAGGGAGCTACTGACTCCATGTGTTAAGGGCAAGGTTTAACAGGGAGCTACTGACTCCATGTGTTAAGGACCAGGTTTAACAGGATGCTACTGACTCCATGTGTTAAGGGCAAGGTTTAACAGGATGCTACTGACTCCATGTGTTAAGGACCAGGTTTAACAGGATGCTACTGACTCCATGTGTTAAGGGCAAGGTTTAACAGGGTGCTACTGACTCCATGTGTTAAGGACCAGGTTTAACAGGGAGCTACTGACTCCATGTGTTAAGGACCAGGTTTAACAGGGTGCTACTGACTCCATGTATTAAAGGCAAGGTTTAACAGGGTGCTACTGACTCCATGTGTTAAGGACCAGGTTTAACAGGGTGCTACTGACTCCATGTGTTAAAGGCAAGGTTTAACAGGGTGCTACTGACTCCATGTGTTAAGGACCAGGTTTAACAGGGTGCTACTGACACATTATGTTAAAGGCAAGGTTTAACAGGGTGCTACTGACACATTATGTTAAGGACCAGGTTTAACAGGGCGCTACTGACACATTATGTTAAAGGCAAGGTTTAACAGGGTGCTACTGACACATTATGTTAAGGGCAAGGTTTAACAGGGCACTGCTGACACCATGTGTTAAGGGCAAGGTTTAACAGGGCACTACTGACACCATGTGTTAAGGGCAAGGTTTAACAGGGCACTACTGACACATTATGTTAAGGGCAAGGTTTAACAGGCACTACTGACACATTATGTTAAAGGCAAGGTTTAACAGGGTGCTACTGACTCCATGTGTTAAGGGCAAGGTTTAACAGGGTGCTACTGACACATTATGTTAAGGACCAGGTTTAACAGGGCGCTACCGACACATTATGTTAAAGGCAAGGTTTAACAGGGTGCTACTGACACATTATGTTAAGGGCAAGGTTTAACAGGGCACTGCTGACACCATGTGTTAAGGGCAAGGTTTAACAGGGCACTACTGACACCATGTGTTAAGGGCAAGGTTTAACAGGGCGCTACTGACACATTATGTTAAGGGCAAGGTTTAACAGGGCACTACTGACACCATGTGTTAAGGACCAGGTTTAACAGGGTGCTACTGACTCCATGTGTTAAGGACCAGGTTTAACAGGGCACTACTGACACCATGTGTTAAGGACCAGGTTTAACAGGGTGCTACTGACTCCATATGTTAAGGACCAGGTTTAACAGGGAGCTACTGACTCCATGTGTTAAGGGCAAGGTTTAACAGGGAGCTACTGACTCCATGTGTTAAGGACCAGGTTGAACAGGGTGCTACTGACACATTATGTTAAGGACCAGGTTTAACAGGATGCTACTGACCAGGATGCGTTTCTTGACGTCGTCCATGCCGTAGTGGTCCTCCTCCAGGACAATGTTGGCCTTGTCCAGGTCCATGTTCTCGGCAGTGTGCTTCCCCCATGGCATGTTGGTCAGCCAGTCCAGGTAGTTACGGGTCACACTGCACACACATCAGTCAGTATTATAGTACATATCAGAACAGGCATATATGTGTACATATCAGTTTGTTTACAAATCAGTTTGTGTGTCAGTGTTCATGTTAACACACAAACATGCATGTTTCAGGAATTAAAATCAACCAAAAATGCAGAAAATATTTTGCATGTGTGTTTTGCAAGCAATGCTTTTTGTCAGCTAATATCAGCCCATCACACAAATGTAAGAAACAAATCAAAGTTTAAAGATGATAGTGAATAGAAATTTGGAATTCCCAATTGTTTAAATAGGTAGATGGTGCTCACAACTTTGAACAGTGATTGGCTACCAGGTTCAAATCAAATCAAAAGTCTGTTGTCGTTATGTCGAAGAAAGTTTCATGACAGTCTAGTTGTCGTAGTCCATATTACTCTGATCACGTGATACAATGTTCTTGCTTATTGAATGTAGCTATTATACTTATGAGATATCCAGTTTGTGGTATATACACTGGCTGTAATCTAGATTAAGGGTAAACTACCATTTACCAATTAAATTGCATTTTCTGCTAGGCATTGTTTTCTATGCTGAGATGTAGATTACTATGTCTATTTTTCGTCAACTAAATCGGAAGTAACAGTCAGATCCAGGATCTACCAGTGATTCAGTTAAAACATACCCAATGATAGAAGCTGAAAGGATTTTTGATGCAATGATCAAAAGAAACTGCATCTGAAACTATCACTTATCAGGAATAATGTTCCAATTTTGTGATATTTTAGTTGTAGCTTTTACTATTATTTAAAATAATAGTAACAATATGTATGGAACAGTTTGAATGTTATGTATACATATAACAGTCAAACTACTACAAGACCTGTTAAGATCCTTGGAAGAAAAGGTCTACAGCAACCCATACTTGCCGTAAAAGGCAACTATGCTTGTCGTAAGAGGTGACTAATGGTTGATGCATGTCATCATATCCCAATTGCATGGATCGATGCTCATGATCCAATCCCTGGATTACCTGGTCCAGACTCGATTATTTACAGACAGCTGTCATATAGCTTGAATATTGTGCGGCGTTCAACAACAAATAAACAAACAAACTACAACAAATAGGAGTTATAGCGACTCAATGTAAGGCATTAATGATATAATATGTATCCATTCTCTGTCACCAAAGATCAATTGCAAGACACCAATAGTGGTAAACCAATAGTGGTTGCTGAAAATCATTGTTGCAACAAGTTAAAATCAGAACATTTATACCTTAAGTGGAATCATATAAGTGGAGTTACTATGAGACAATATGAAGCCTGGTGGTGAAAATGTGCCAAACAAGCTGCTTCGTTGTTTATTTAGCTCACCTTGACATGAAGCATTGCGACTTACTTGAACTCTGACGAGTGGTTGTCTAGCAGGGACAGCTTGGTCAGCTCCTCGTCTATAACCTCCTTCACATGATTCGGCACTGTCAGGTCCTGCAACATCACCACTCAGTCAGTGCCAGGTCATGAACATAGGAGCAATGGCCAGGTCATGAACATGGGAGAAATGGCCAGGTCATGAACATGGGAGAAATGGCCAGGTCATGAACATGGGAGAAATGGCCAGGTCATGAACATGGGAGCAATGGCCAGATCATGAACATGGGAGCAATGGCCAGATCATGAACATAGGAGCAATGTCCACATCATGAACATGGGAGCAACGGCCGGATCATGAACATGGGAGCAATGGCCACATCATGAACATGGGAGCAATGGCCAGATCATGAACATGGGAGCAATGTCCACATCATGAACATGGGAGCAACGGCCGGATCATGAACATGGGAGCAATGGCCACATCATGAACATGGGAGCAATGGCCGGATCATAAACATGGGAGCAATGGCGGGATCATGAACATATGAGCACTGGCCAGATCATGAACATGGGAGCAATGTCCACATCATGAACATGGGAGCACTGGCCGGATCATGAACATGGGAGCAATGTCCTCACCATGAACATGGGAGCACTGGCGGGATCATGAACATGGGAGCAATGGCCACATCGTGAACATAGGAGCAATGGCCACATCATGAACTTGGGAGCAATGGCCACATTGTGAACATAGGAGCACTGGCCGGATCATGAACATGGGAGCAATGGCCACATTGTGAACATAGGAGCAATGGCCATATTGTGAACATAGGAGCAATGGCCACATTGTGAACATAGGAGCAATGGCCACATCATGAACATGGGAGAAATGGCCTGATCATGAACATGGGAGAAATGGCCGGATCATGAACATGTGATCAATATCTGTATCTTGGTCATGATATCAGTGGCTGGATCATAAAAAAGGGGTTCAAAGGCCAGATCATGAACATTGGATTCATGACCAGATCATGAAAGATGTAAGTTGAACACAGATGACCAAATTGTAAAATCTGTATTCTTTCTCTTCAGGGATGTATTAAATGGTACCACATACCCCTGTACTACCAAAATGTGCAACCTTTCCTCAATGGCATTACCTTGAGTCTAGAGAGGAACTTCTCCTCAATGGCGTCCTTGTCATCCTTCTCAATGCCTAACTCCTTCTTGATGATCTTCAGCTGCTCTCGCAGGATGTACTCACGGTGCTGCTTCTTCACCTTCTCCTCCACCTGCGGCAAAACACTAGACATGTTCAGCATAACACTAGACATGTTCAGCATAACACTAGACATGTTCAGCATAACACTAGACATGTTCAGCATAACACTAGACATGTTCAGCATAACACTAGACATGTTCGGCAAAACACTAGACATGTTCCCCAAAACACTAGACATGTTCAGCATAACACTAGACATGTTCAGTAAAACACTAGACATGTTCGGCAAAACACTAGACATGTTCAGCATAACACAAGACATGTTCAGCATAACACTAGACATGTTCAGCATAACACTAGACATGTTCAGTAAAACACTAGACATGTTCAGTAAAACACTAGACATGTTCAGCATAACACTAGACATGTTCAGCATAACACTAGACATGTTCAGTAAAACACTAGACATGTTCAGCATAACACTAGACATGTTCAGCATAACACTAGACATGTTCGGCAAAACACTAGACATGTTCGGCAAAACACTAGACATGTTCGGCAAAACACTAGACATGTTCGGCATAACACTAGACATGTTCAGCATAACACTAGACATGTTCGGCAAAACACTAGACATGTTCGGCAAAACACTAGACATGTTCAGCATAACACTAGACATGTTCAGCATAACACTAGACATGTTCAGCATAACACTAGACATGTTCGGCAAAACACTAGACATGTTCCCCAAAACACTAGACATGTTCAGCATAACACTAGACATGTTCAGCATAACACTAGACATGTTCGGCAAAACACTAGACATGTTCAGCATAACACTAGACATGTTCGGCATAACACTAGACATGTTCAGCATAACACTAGACATGTTCAGCATAACACTAGACATGTTCGGCAAAACACTAGACATGTTCCCCAAAACACTAGACATGTTCAGCATAACACTAGACATGTTCAGCATAACACTAGACATGTTCGGCAAAACACTAGACATGTTCAGCATAACACTAGACATGTTCAGCAAAACACTAGACATGTTCAGCAAAACACTAGACATGTTCAGCATAACACTAGACATGTTCAGCATAACACTAGACATGTTCAGTAAAACACTAGACATGTTCCTCAAAACACTAGACATGTTCCCCAAAACACTAGACATGTTCGGCATAACACTAGACATGTTCCTCAAAACACTAGACATGTTCCCCAAAACACTAGACATTTTCAGTAAAACACTAGACATGTTCCTCAAAACACTAGACATGTTCCCCAAAACACTAGACATGTTCCCCAAAACACTAGACATGTTCCCCCAAACACTAGACATGTTCGGCAACACACAGACCAGGGACCTGCAAAACCTTTTTCAATATTATATGCCTTTTCATGTGAAGTTTACATGATCAACAGCTTTTCTATTGGACGAGGGGTCAGTCATATGAACGTGAAACTAATGTTCATTTGTGAATGAACACCTTTAGAAATTCATACATTTATCATGAGGTTGTTTTCTTGAAATGACATAAACACTGATGGACCTCTTCCACATTCCTGGGGAAACCCCTGGGAATTGCCTAGCACGAATAAATACAGAAGCATTGTTTCTCATCATTTAGACCTTTAAAAATCTTGACTTTAGCGTTTTACCAAACACTAGGATACCGGTAAGTCAGAGAGTTTAACTGTATGTCCATTCATACAGCCTTGATACAACCCACCCAAGAGACCAAAACAAGGAAATGCACGTCCAAACTAGGGACACGATCCGTGTCTAGGCAGACAGGTGACAGTCTGCAGCAAACTATAAATTTGACACACATTCATAATCACCTTTCAAATGAATGATTGGCCAAATGATCAATGATGACTAACACAAGCTCATGATCATCTTTCGGAAATGTCTCCCATCTCTCCCATCCCATTTTGACGTCCTGTATTTGATGTAAATGTATTATGATGTGTTGTCATTGAGACCGACATACTGAGGTAGTTCTTAGGGACCTACTTCATCTAATGATAATAATTGAATTTATTTCTTGTAACCAAAAAAAATGCTCATGTAACCACTCCTTTTGGGCTAAAAAAAAATAAATTCTTGGTTCTCAGGCACCGCCGCATCATCATAAAGTCTGCCGCACGTTTCATTTTTATTTCCATTTAAAAAAGAAATACATCCTTAAATGTTCTGCGTCTTGAACACACGACCTCAACTGTGAAATGCTACAATACTTAAAAACAATGCGATCCAATATAACGTGCAGTTACTTCCCTTTTCATGCGCACTGCTTTACTGCGCATCTCGTGTGTTATGGTCATGGCGGCAATAGGAGTTTGTGTGCTTGCTTTGCTGTTTGCAAATTTGGTCAATGAAAACATTAAATTTGCAATACAACATCACCATACATGATGATGGTATTCAAATACAAATTCAATGGTATTTGTGTACTGTGTGAGGGACAATGCAGAGGTTATTTGTCTCATAAAATAAGCGGGAAATTGATGCTAATTTATATACCCCGGCTATAAAGCAAATCGGAATATAGCACATCACTAGTGCATACAAAATCTCTACATTTGCAATAAAAATGTGTTTGTCTTCCGCAGAAAAAAAAATTACATCGTAGCCCTTCAGCGAAACGGAACAGATTATATCAATTAAACTCGGTCAATTCAAATTTGAAATTTGAGAAAAAAACACCACCAAATTTAATGATTAGCCGATTAAATTGTATTTCCTGTTCTGATTGGCATTGTTTTATATGCAGAGATTAAGATTACCGTGCGTCTTGTCTCGTAAACTAAGCCGGAAGTAGCATTCAGCTGTATACACTTTTCTCGGAATCTACCGTTGATTCGGCCAATAATATAACTTTAACCCTCTGGATGCCGACTTTTTTTTCTGACGCACATTTTCCTAAGATTGGAAAAGTGAAGGTTGCGCGAGAATTGCGCTCACGCGTCACAGGATATACCTCTGGCTATAAAATTGCGCAGATGTGGAGAATATTAAATTTCCTATTTGATGGTGTAAATTTAACTGCAAATATTAAACCGGTCTTAAAAAAAGACACTTCCGAGTGTTGCCAAAGAATTTATTCTGCGTTGAAAAACACTTAATGTCTCTGCTTTTTATCGTACACTGATAAAAGTACTGTGCGACAATTTTTTTTATTTAGAAGCTTTATGGAAACTTTTAGCGAGCAAATTACTGCCTAGTATCTGAACAACATAACTATATATCAAATGGAGTTATATGCGTATGTATAACGACATACATTCAAAGCCAAAAATAGCATGCCGTAAATGACGAAAACTGATTTTTCTCTATGACGTCAAAAGGCGACAGAGAGTTTACACACGTACAAAGAAAAGGGGGCATAACTCCGCTATGCTTAGCACTAGTTTACTGTAACTTAGGTCACTTGGTGAGAATGAACTGTGGGTAAGGACAATATATTTTTATGGTGTTTTGTTCACTAGGAACCAAACTATTCCAACACAAATATCGATATTGAAACTGTACGTTTAGTTATAAAAACAACAACATAAGAAATGATGAAATTGTACTTCATAATAAAAGAGGTAATAGATAAATGCATGGCCCTATCTAACCTATAACTTAGTCCTTAGATTCCAACATTCTCTTGAATGTGTAAGTGTAATGTGACTAACATTGCACCATTATTAATGGTGCACTAGCCTTATCATCAAATGTAATGAAATACCAAAAAAATAATACCATTCTGTTTGACGTCATGGCTGGTTTTATGTCTTTGATAACGTCAGAGAATGACGACACTGGTATTTTATTTTTATACTTTTTACAATTCCTAGAGAAATAAAGTTAACAGTTGAATATCCTGTGATCACAATATTGGAAAAAGAATGAATCCACTGAATATATAATGCAAAACGAGAGGAATAATTTGTAAATTGTTTGTGACTAACGCGCACCTGGCGAATAGTTAGATATCACTGTTCTGTGTATCAAACGACAAAAAACAATTCCAAGACCAAGACAATTCTTTCAGAAATGTGTGCATATATTTTAACGAAAAATATTATCCATTTTGATAAAGTAATATATTCAGTTTTAGTTGTAAAAGAGAATGAAACGGCTATTCATGGACATTGGTTATATTACACGTCCCAAGAAATATGTACATGCTGCAGTCACATTTACGTAATATCGTATTCGACACTATAAACCTATCAATTCTTATGTTAACAATGTTCAAACCAACAGGAGATTTTTTCAATACATGTTGTGGCCTATATTTACGTATGATATCATTTTGAATATTGACAAATATCCAAAGTGAAATTAATTGTGTGAAAAAATGTATAAAAGATATGCAAAATCTACACCATAACTGAAACTGTAAACAGCCTGATACAATGGCCGTGTGCACTCTCATTCAAGGACCTTCACCTCAAAGAAATTGCCAAATATGTACAACAATGTTGACGTATGACATCACTATCGGTGACCGACTTTTATAAAATTGCATGTTCACTGTCAACAGTACACAGGATTTTACGAGGGGACTTTCGTTGATTTAGGGATCGTATATACATAAATGTGACATGTAAGTAATCAGAAACATTCTGACAATCTATGTACTGTTATTTGGTGTTATATTTTTCATTGAAACCAACGGAAATAGTCCGATAAATACCGTTGTCGTTGTGCGTGATTTTGCGTCAGTCATGACGTCACACAGGAGGGTAACTTTGACAATTTCTGTTGAAAGTATAAAATCATTGCAATGCATCTTTTTTAAATTCCCTAATTCTTCCTACGATTCTCTTCCCATGCATATTCTGAAAATATTGAGCCAATATCTTCAACGAATAGACGAATGGATAGCTCAAAATAGGAGAAAATGCTACACTGTGTAAAATCTGAATTTTGATTTGTTTACATTTCAAACAAGTGCAGTTTTTCGACCACAGCGTTTGTTTTCACACCTAACTTATTTTGCTTGATTTCATCTAGGCACTTTGTATTGGTGACAAAGACCATTAGTCATTTGATTCTAAAATGTATGAGGAATTCAAGGATGTATGTATCGCAGCTAAGTTTGAAATATACGTGATGTTACAGGCGTCTCATGACCGGTGTACGTGAAACATGATTTTGTAAACACTATCCAATATGGCAGAAAGTTCACTTCAGCCGTTCGTGTTTGCGTATTTTCCAAACATTTGAAACGATTCTAGGATTATCGGAGATGTTTTGGAATGATCATCGGTGATTTGATAAAAGACAGATACCCGTCATCACTAATATGCTATTTTTGAAATTCATTTCTCCGAGTAAATATCCGAAATTTAGATTTCAAAACATGCTGTGAATAACGCTGTGAGTGGTGATTTAGTAATGTATAAAAAATGGCAACATTTACGATGTACCTAAGTTTCAGAGGTCATTTTCAGTACTTTTGCTTGGCCTAAAATGCCAGTGGATGATATCACAGAAAAGGGAATTTCCCACATTATTCAAAACTGTGAAGTGTATCTGTGTGCGTGATGTATTTTGAATTTTATTCGACTTCAAAGTGGGGGTTGAAGAGGAGGGACATATATGTCCCTCTGGCATCCAGGGGGTTAAAGAATTTTGATACAATGAGCGGAAGAATTGTATCTGAAACTATTATTTTGTCAGGAATAATTTATTCCAATATAATGTGTAGTTGCAGCTTTACTATATATATGTGAAATAAATTAATAACCATAAGCGTAGCACTTTGGTTCAGCTGATCGCCATTGCCGGAAATGTTTTCGAATGGAAGAATTTGACCAATAACCGTCCATGCGCCAACGATTTCAAAAACTTAATGTTGACATATAATAGTCAAACTACAACAAGTATGACTTTCAGCGATTCAATGTATGGCATTTATGATATATATATCCATTCTCTATCCACTAAAGTTTGTTTCAAGCGTCAATAGCGGTAATATGACCGTGGTTGCTGTAAGTAACGGCGAGTTGTGTGATCTTCCGATCACTTCACATACGATTTTGCCAAAATGAACTGAAACAATATTGATAGAAATGTTGAATAAAATTATTAAATAGATTACCAACATAAGTCCAGATATATTATGAACTCTTTCTACAACCAGACAGTGTTATTACATGATTAATTTGAGTATTTCAGTACGGATTTGTTGACATGGTATTTCCGGTGTTCCGTGCCCACAGTAATGTCTATGTGCTGCGGAAAAAAACCCATAAAATACTTAACCCTATGTATAAGACCCCCCCCACACACACACAAACACACATATACCTTCAAAGCCTCCTAATTCTAGAAAAACTTGCCTTATACACAGCAATATACGGATTTGGATTCTAACTAGTGTGTACACAACAACAAAAAAGAGAAAAAAAAAGGGCCGCCCGCTCACACAATATTTTCAAGGTAACTTTTTTTTCCCGAATTTCAGTTGGTTGTTCTATGGCTGTCAGTGTAAACATGAAGTCAAACATACTAAATGAAATTGTTTAATAATTCCCACAAGGTATAAAATAGTGACATAAAAAAATCATAAGCATTGACTTCCACTTTGTGTGAGTTAATTGGAGTATGAACCTTCATAGAGTGAAACCATGCTCCGGCATTCATACAATTTGGCCCGCACTCACAGTTTAACATGTTAACATAAACACCTTATGCAGACCAGTCCTTGTTTTATCCCATCACTGGCAAGGTAACAAGAAGTACCATAGTTTAACCTCTTTTGGTATGACGCGGACAGAGATCCAACCACCGACCTTCCACTCTCTGGGCACATGCTCTATCCACTGGACCTATCTTTAGGCTTTTTGGTTTGGTTTGGTTTGTTGTTTAACGCCGCACTCAGCAATATTCCAGCTATATGACGGCGGTCTGTAAAATAATCGAGTCTGGACCAGACAATTCAGTGATTGACAACATGAGCATCGATCCACACAGTTGGGACCGATGACATGCATCAACCAAGTCAGCGAGCCTGACCACCCGATCCCGTTAGAAGCCTTTTACGACAAGCATAGTCGCCTTGTACAGCAAGCATGGGTTGCTGAAGACCTATTCTACCCCGGATCTTCTAGTGACCTATCTTTAGGCCTGCTTTGTGAACCAGAATCTGAAGGCGAATCAACTGACCTCTTTACCAATCCTCTGCTGGAGCTTGCTTAGTTCAAACTCCTTCTTCAACAATGACAGGGCCAACATCAGTCTCTTTGGTACCTGTGATGATGTAATTGTCACCAAATTAATATGTATACATGGTATAGGTAAGAATGGATGTCTACTTCATTATTAAATCACCTACTGCATGGAGTACGATGACCCCAAAACGGGCTAAAAGAATGGGTTGTGGGGGACCTATTTTCAGAGATGTGAGCAGGTCTTCCCAAAAAAAAAGAGGAAAAGTCTAGGGGGGGATGGCATGCCCCCCCAGAAATCTTTTAAACATTTGATTGCATTTTAAGCAATTAAGTTCAGTTTGGACAACATTAACACCAAAAATGTAATAAGTCAATGGCAAAAGTAAATAAGTCAAATAAACAAAGATGGCAGATGCAGAAAAATTTCGAAGTTAAATCAGTACTTTAAAAAAAATCGGGCATAGCTTCCGCCAGGTCTGTGAGCAATACTGCCATAACCTTCAACCCCCATCCCCCAGACACAAGGACAACTGTCATAAGGGTGCAATGTCTGACCCTTTCCCCATGTTGAAGCATATTGACAAAAAAGTTACCTTGTACTAACTTACCTTTTGTTGAAAAAAAACAAAACTCCATTGCAACATAAGATATTAATACAACATACATCCCCATGTTATTGGTTTTCGAACGCTGAGGAAACATTCATAGTTTTCTCGCTAATCACATGAACAGCTAACTGTAAAATATCTCATTCACGTATAGGCTAAAAGACAATTTTATCTTAAAAACAAACCATCATCTGACTCGGAGTATTTACAATTTCTGTGTGGCGCCACACTCCATGTTATAGTGCAAGTATTCGTGATAGAAAACGATGATGTCCGAAAGCCTGCTGCTGAAAGCTGATCGAAAACAGGACAATTCGAGACGGTTGTCCGATTTTCGATCATATTTTTCGGAGTGTATTTTTTAAAACTTTGATTACCGGTATATTTTTACGGGGAAGATGATTTTTTCCGAGGACTACTGTTTAAAAAAACGCGTTTCCGCAGAGATTTCACATCCCTGTATTCTGCCCTGCATCTCCATGGGGAGGGTACAAGCATGGTTTATGGGCATGGCAACCCCATTGGAATGGAGGGTGGTCAAGGTACAAGCATGGGTTATGGGCATAGCAACCCCATAGGAAGGGAGGATGGGGGTGTATAAGCATGGGATATGGGCATGGCAACCCCATGGGAAGGGAGGGTGGTGGGTGTACAAGCATGGGTTATGGACATGGCAACCCCATTGGAAGGGAGGGTTGGAAGGGTACAAGCATAGCAACCCAATGGAAAGGGATGATGGGGGGTGTACAAGCATGGGTTATGGGGGGGGGGGGGGGCAACCATGGGTTATGGGCATGGCAATCCCATGGAAAGGGGAGGGGGGTACATGGATGGGCAACATGACAGTCTTGAGCCTTACATTTGTCTCCTCCAGGACCTTCTGGAGTTCCTCCGCCTCCCCAGCAGTCAGAGCAGCTCCTGAAGCCACAAGGTTTCAGTGACAAATGTCGTAAACACAACATACAGCTGAAGCAAGATCAGTAATAACAGGAAAATGTGGATAGCTTATTTCTATTAAAGGGGAAGTGTACACACAAAAATCACTTTCTATCTTTTTCTAAACAAAACGCAATTTTAGAATTAGTTAGTATCTGTGTTTGAAAATATACACTCATTTTTTTCACAGTGAAAGTAGGAAGCTCACAATAGTGTGAAAATGATATGCCGTTATGAGGCCTTCGTTTTTCGAGCTAAACAGGCCTGAGTTATCCCCCTTAGATTATGACGTAATTGGTGCCAATTCAACTGGGTCCCTGTCTATTCTCAACGCAAATGATATCAAGTACCAGTTTGTGGTAAAACAACATGGCCTACGACACACTCCGGCGCAGTGGTGACTCAGCATAACACTATGCTGGCTGGCATCTGAGACGCTAGAATCACACACCTGTACCTACACCACGTGAAGCGGCTCTAACAAAGCATGGTGACGTCATAATGTTTATCAATTGGCACCAATGACGTCATATTGTAAGGGGCATAAGCCATGGTGTTTTTGTTATGGAAATAGAACACTTGGTAAATGTGAAAAATATAAATCATTTTAATGCAAAAAATATGTCAATTATTAGTGATTTTTTTATATTTTTGTCTATGACACTTCTAGGTTAACACTTTTAATGTGGAAAAAGTACAAGAAAAATAGGTTCATTTCCGTGTGAACTTGCCCTTTAAACATATACATAGAGGGATTTATCTGGGATTGGAAACTAAGAGCCCTTGGCAAGCCAATTTGGGGAAAAATTGGGTTCAAAAGATTATATTTTCTAAGCATTAAAGCCATTTTCTCTTCACTTGTCCTGATAACAGTGAAAGACAACACAACATATTACATACAACTATATTAACATTAATTATGAACATTTTAAGTTGGGAATTTTACTGATCTTTTCCATAGACATGCTTCTGAAAACTGGCCTCGAGATACATCCCTGCTGTACATAAACCATAATAAACATGATAAAGCTTGAAATTGTGCAAAACATTAGGCTTTTAATGTCCTTTTTATCTCAGCATGCTCAAAGAAGAAACATGCCTTCACAGAGAGTAGTTCTGATGAAACTGAGAGAGTGAGCAGTGGTTTTACTGCTGCTTTGAAGCATGTCAGCGTATATGAAAGGAAAGCCTGTATGCAGGTCATTGACTTCAAGCACAATGCATACATACAGGCTTGAGAAATGTAGCAAGGGAGACAACTCCATCCAAAGTAAATAACAATGTAAAATTGCAGGTTAATCTGTATCATGAACATGCATAATCATTGAGAGTAATTTCATTTAAGCAACAGATTACAATGGCTGACTATCCAAGAGCCCACTTTCAATGCCATGAATAATTATTAAGATAAGCAGTCAAACACAAAATTACATTCAAAATCTATCTGATACTTTAATGACTACATGTGATGTTAAATGTTCACATGATAGTTTAATGTGAATGTGAACCCCAACCAACTATCCCCCTCCCATCAACACCTCCATCCCGCCAACACCTCCATCCCATCAACACACACCCTCCAACCAACACCTCCATCCCGCCAACACACACCCTACCACCAACACCACCATCTCGCCAACACACACCCTACAACCAACACCTCCATCCCATCAACACACACCCTCCCACCAACACCTCCATCCCGCCAACACACACCCTACCACCAACACCTCCATCCCGCCAATACCTCCATCCAAACCAACACCTCTATCCCGCCAACACCTCCATCCCATCCCGCCAACACCTCCATCCTGCCAACACACACCCTACCACCAACACCTCCATCCCGCCAACACACACCCTACCACCAACACCTCCATCCCGCCAACACACACCCTCCCACCAACACCTCCATCCCGCCAACACCTCCATCCCGCCAACACCTCCGTCCAAACCAACACCTCCATCCCGCCAACACCTCCATCCAAACCAACACCTCCATTCCGCCAACACCTCCATCCCGCCAACACCTCCATTCCGCCAACACCTCCATCCCGCCAACACCTCCATCCCGCCAACACCTCCATCCAAACCAACACCTCCATCCCGCCAACACCTCCATCCAAACCAACACCTCCATTCCGCCAACACCTCCATTCCGCCAACACCTCCATCCCGCCAACACCTCCATTCCGCCAACACCTCCATCCCGCCAACACCTCCATCCCGCCAACACCTCCATCCAAACCAATACCTCCATCCTGCCAACACCTCCATTCTGCCAACACCTCCAACACCACCATCCCGCCAACACCTCCAACACCACCATCCCGCCAACACCTCCATTCCGCCAACACCACCATCCCGCCAACACCGTATCCCTGCACAAGCAGCACAGAACCAGTCTACTGACCTAAATCACTGATGTAAACTGGATTGTCAATCACTCTCTGACCAGCCTGAATGATCTGGGCCAGATTCTCTCTGGAATGCACAAAATACAGTAGTTTCATTTAGATGACACACAGCAGTCGTAACTTACCCTGAAAACAGAGTCAATAAGTAGGTAATGATTAGTGATAACTTATTATTATGGGGGTGTTTATCATCTACAAATCTGTGTAAGTATTAGTCAACAATTTTACAAAGTAAGCACCAATAATTTTCGTATCTTATAGGTCTAACCTTTGAGCACAAAAATATACAAGAAAAAGCAATAATTCTCTTCCATATAATCATGACAATCAAATACTTAAGATTTAAAAAACATATTTGTAAAATATCACAATACATCTTCCCGAGGCAAGGGAATTAACTGACTATAAATGTCCAGTTTCTACCCTTGCCAAACTAGGCTTGAATTTCCGGACTCAATCATATCACCACCTGTGGCCATTACGGGTTATGTTCCTTCTATGTCCCTCCTATTGACCAATCAGATTCCGCCTCTCATATCACTTCGCATTTGTTTCAAAGAAAATGGCGGCGTCCAGTCAAGACAATCTGGTCGATAAAACGGGTCTTATCGCTTATCGCTTGATAAAAAACATGAAAAGATTTGCAAAAGATCTGTCAATGCCGAGTTGGTGGTACACATGCTTTGCAAATCCTGCAATCAACCAAAACATGCACGCCCGTTTTCAAACGAGATGTCAATTTCGTTACGAAATTCTGACTGGACTGAACGTAGGCTTGTTAGTCCAGCCAAAATATAACTCCATAATTCCAGCCTAGTTTAGCAAGAGTGGAAACTAGACTTTTATAGTCAGTTAACTCCCTTGCCTCGGGAAGCTGATCAGAATATTTCAAACAGTTCTATGCTTTTTCAAAATGATGACAGCAACCATATTGTATGTGCGTGACACTTAATGGTGAATGTCTAGTCACTGCCTTCAGTTAATATAACTTGGTGAGGTATAAACATCTATCAAAACACCATATCAAGATCTTCCCTGTCTTGAAAAATATGTATGTATGTATGTCATCATACAAATGCATTTATTTCCCCAATAACAAAACTTACTTTGGTGTTGCATAGTATATACAAAAACATCAATAGACAAGTATCAGGCAAGATTATACTTTACTTGACCGCACTAACATGACCAAGTATCGAAGTTTCTACCTAATTGACAGTTTAGCTGATAATAGCTGATCCAGTATAGGTTATTAGATGGTCCAGTATAGGTTATTAGATGGTCCAGTATAGGTTATTAGATGGTCCATGTACCTGTACAGAGGATTCATTGCTATGATGTCCCGGATCGTCTTCACAACTTCAGATGTCAGTGCCTGCATAACATCAAACCTCCTTTTACAATCAATTATGATAATCAGCCAGCATCATGTAACATGCTATCATGGCTATATTGGCTTTATATTGGTCAGCATGAACTACATGTACAAATTTCTTTCATAAAACATAGCATAACATTTTCACAAAGACAGCGTTAACACAAAAAAAGCTGACGTTTGGCCATTGCTTGTGGACTTCCATCCAAGTACTAACAGTACTTGCCAGTAAGTTTAATCAACAAATCCAGTTTCTTATGGATCTAATCCACCAGAATGTTATCACAAACAACGGGTATTGTGGCATTCAATGGCATTTGCTTGGTTATCCAAGCAATTACCATTTATGTATCGGGGCATGGATGGCCCTGTTGTCTAAGGCGCCGCGATTCGCTCTGCAGAAACCTATGATTGTGGGTTTGAATCCCGGTTCTCTCCCATTATGTTTCTAGGTTTGTCAGCACCATACCCGTGCTTGTGGGTTTCACCGAAGTGGTAAACGTCTAAGACCTGCATCACTTCAGGCTTTCCTCCCACATTAAGCTGACACGCCGCGATATAACTGGAATACTGTTAAAAGTGGCATGGGTATGGTGCTGACAAACCAAGAAATTTAATCAGGGCGAAACCGGGATTCATACCCACAATCATATTTTTTTGGCATCCCCAAGGGATGCAACTCTGCACAGCGAATTGCGGCGCCTCAGACGACTGGGCCACCCGTGCCGCCCGTTAAATCTGAAGTCTTAAGTAAACATATAATTGTGACAGGTATTAGTAACCACCTTTATCTCATCATCGCTGGTGAAGGGCTCATGCTGAAGGTTCTCCACATCCACCATCAGGACGTGAGGCATGGGCGGTACAGGTGTTGGAGCTTGAAGCATCTGCTCTGCCACATTATCCAACAAGGGAGACGACTCAACTGGTTCCCCTCCCACTGTCTTTACCGCCTCCTCACCACCATTGCGGCCGTTACGTCGTCGTCGCCGTTTCTTCTTGTTACTGTTATTGTTGTCTGATCATAATGATAAGTCCTTGTTAAAACATGCTAATAGTTGTTCCTGTCTGTGAAAAGTACTACGTAATGTCCACTTTCAAGTTGTTTTTCACCTTGGAAACACCTGGACCAGTATTGTATTCTCCACCAAAACCTTTCAATCTCCTAAACAAATCTTGTCCTAAGCATCAAGTCCAGCAGATTTCACCTGGGATGTATCTATCCGAATTTTCACAAGGAGTCAGTCGAGCATGTTATTTCAATGCATTGAAAATGTGTAAGAATCAATGTTTTAACTGACTTGTTACCAATGCCTTGTTTACCATGTTTTCATTTCTTGATCTATCAGTCTTAGCTTCAATTTCATTTCCATGAAAGCCTTCATCCTCATAGTAAGTGGTGAGTTTGTGTTTATACAAACATAAGATAGTGAGTTTGGTTTAGTGATGCTTTGAACTGCATTTCAGCTATATTCAGGTATGTCAGGTCAATGTGATAGTAGTGGCAAAGTGATGCTGGCATCAGATGCTTTTCATCTTGGTGAAACCCACAATCATATATTTCTGGTACACAAAAGTTTCATGTCGGACAAAAAAAAACTTACTCCCTTTAGTAGGGCTATAGCAGAAGGAAGGTAACTCTAACCCCACCCACCTCACCCCCAACCCCCAGAAGAGTCTGGCCTAACCATGCAGACATACCTGCTTCAATGGCTTGATCTTGCCCTTCAGCTTCCTCTGAGACAAGTCCAGTAATCCGAATCCTGCAAGTGAGCTTCCATTTGTTAACAGTATATGACAAAGGGCAAAAGTCTTCCTGACATTGAAACCTTGTTGTTGAATCTATAAAAAAAAACGTTGCCTCTTCTTCTCTGTTTGGGACAAGTTCAAAATTTTCAAATTGGATAATTTTTTTTTAATTCTTTAAGGTTTCAGACCCCACCCTCACTTTCAAAAATCCTTAACTCTGAAAATATTGAATACATGCGTTGAGTGGCCTCTATCCACTGAAGCATATTTACTAGGTGTTGAAAAACATTTGGAGAGCTTTCATAGGTCAAATCTGCCATTCTATACTACACACTATAAAACGCAATGATAAAAACTACCTTGTGGAAAGACTGGATGTATTTGCCATCTAGACACAATGAGTCACCATTACCCAGGTGAGCTACACCCCTTTGGGGATTCTGGGTCAGAATTGGTTACCCCTTATGCTGGTCATTAGACGCATCCAAATGGATCTGGTCGCCAGGCTCAGTGACTGGTAGATTGCGTGTTATCACAACCCAACGGATCGTTACTCACAATATTGATCACTGTCGGCTTTAGATGGAATTATTTACAGGCTGTTGCCAGTAGGCTGAAATAATGCTGAGTGCTGTGTTAAACAACAAACAAAGAAACAAATACTGTAGCTACACAAACCTAAATATTTGACATTTACACAGATAGGCATGGTACGTTAACTAGCCAATCTTACATTCTGGCTTAACCGTTTGATCAAAGGTTAAAGTTAACCAAATGTTATCATGACTACATTGTAGGGCTGGGATGAGTCCGAAGTTACTACCCTGGTACCCACCCCCTATTATGCGACCCTACCTGGGTACCCACTGTAGGTCTCAAGAGATAGGTACAAAATGTTCGATTGGGCATTTTTTTACCATAGCACTGGCAAAGTGTATTTAGATACATGTATTAAACAATCTGGTCATGCAAACACTGAAGTTGACTTAAGTTATATCTTTATTCAAAGATATGAAAAGTCAGAAGGAATGGGTGCATAGTCAGAAAGAAATGCGAACATTTGTGACTTGTAGTGTAACCACAGAGTTCTAGATACTTTTCGTCAATAAACAATATATCATGTGACTAACCACAGGTCTGGGTAGTCCCATGGGTACCTGGATCCTACTCAGTACCCACCCGACCCGGGTACCCGAGTTACCCGTCCCTGCCCTACTACATTGACATGAAACTACAGTGGGTGTGGAACTGTGAGATAAAAACCAAAATAAATGTCAAGATAGTAAACACTTGGCATAAAAAGAAATCCACACTAAGCATGCTGTACCAAAGAAAGAGGTCACTATATCATCTCATGTCTGTTTCACAATGTTGTGCCTTCTACCTGCGGTGTGCCATGACGATCATCCTCAACTTGTCTCCAAGGTCCTGCATCTCGGTGATCTGGACGAAGGTTCCCACATCATAGATGTCATCCAGGCGGGAAACGACATCGCTCTCATTACTGGAAACAGTGTTACAAATACTATTACAAGAGCAACATCTTGAATCATTTAGGCTAAATTTATCTTTTAAAAAATTTATCTAAGACTTTAGTATTGGTGAGATTAGGTGAAATTGGACTTAATGTCTCAATCAATATAATCAGTGATAATTGCACTTATATACTAGACCGGACTAATGCTGGTTTCACAGTGCTTGGCTAAATAGAACCCATACCACACTTTAACATACCCCATACAGTATATTGACTTCAAGCCATACTTCAAAGCGATTGTAGCTCTACAACTGTTGCAAATCTATGTTAAAGTATGGGGGTTACAATCGTCTTAGCACTAAGATCGCTTTGTGGAACGAGGCGCAGTCCTTGTTTCTTATCCCCTCAATGGGCAACAAAAAGTACCATCTTATAACCTGTCTTTTGGTCTGATGCACCAGGGGATCCAACCACTGACCTCCTGCTCTCCGAGGAGACGCCCCACCCACTGGACAGAGGCGGTCACTTGCGTATTGTAAAAGTCATATTTCAAAACAAATAAATATCTCTGCATCATCTGATGTCATCAATCCAATATTATATTTGAACAGGATAGACATATGTCAGTGTGTGGGTACAAAAAAGGGCAAAAAAGACAAAATTACCTGTCATCCTTTTTCAAGAACACTCCAGCATATGGTTGATTGAGTCTCACTTTCCTTCTCAGCAGATCCATCAAGGTCTTGTCACCAACCTGAATTGACAGTACAAATCATGCAGATACAATGTATACTGAACTAAACTTTCAACAAATATCTTGAATGAATTACTGTTAATCAACATGAGCAAGATGAGTTCCCTATCATGCTGATGTCACTGACATGCATATTGAACACTAACCCGTGAAGATCCGGGGTAGAAAAGGTCTTCAGAAACCCATGCTTGCCGTAAAAGGCGACTAATGCTTGTCGTAAGAGGCGATTAACTGGATCGAGTGGTCAGGCTCACTGACATGGTTGATGCATGTCATCATTTCCCAATTGTGTGGATTGATGCTCATAATGTCAATCACTGGATTGACTTGTCCAGACTTATTTATATACAGACTGCTGTCATATACGATATAGCTGGAATATTGCTGAGTGCAGCGTTAAACAACAAACAAACAGTATGTGAATTTGGGAGATGCTTTTGTGATATGTAACAACATATATATTTCACATTATGCTACATATTTACATCACATTTCATCATTTTTCATGGGATTCAATAATAAGATTCCAACAAGGAAATTGGGTATATACATGCAGTTAGCATATGATGATGACATGCATGGACCAAGTCAGCAGGCACGTCCACCAGAACCATTTAGTCACCTCTTACGAAAAGCATTGGTTGCTGAAGACCAATTCTAACCTGCAACTTCAGTGGTATTTTACCCCACAAGGGTTCATGCAGATCGGGTGGATAGGTTCGGTGACTTGGTTGGCTGTCATCGTACCCCCATGGCATAGTCAGTGTTCAAAATTAATCATGTAAATCAAAGGGCCCTTGTCTTAGCACTTATCTTGCTTATGCTAAAAGTTAAAGGCTTAAAGGTACCTTTAGATTCAAATACTATCATGACTTTTGGAGCAAATCTCAAAGAAGCCATTAATTTCCCCCCCACGCCTTAGTTTAGTCTGGGCCAGACATAGTCATTTACAGGCTGCTGTCATATGATCATGATGATATAGCTAGAATACTATGAATACTACTGAGTGTGTCGTTAAACAACAAACTAAAGGGTATCTGTATCTTATTTTAGTTAATATGAGTTATATCAAAACAAAGAGAAAACAAGAGAGTTAGTGGCCTATATTATACTTATGGGATCATGCAACTTACTTCTATCATCTTCACAAATCTTGGGAAAACTGGATTTCTGCTGATTGCAATGACGGGCACTTTGGGGAAAATTTCAGGAACTGCTAAGGTGGTAAGAGCTCCCATTGGAAATGGCTCGGGCTGCACATGCGGCGTCTGCGATTCTTCCTCAGCAGGTTGCCCATGTTCGTTTCCGTCACCTTTATCAGAGCTACTCGAAAAATATCTCGAAGAAACGGTAGCAGAAGCAATTCGACTCAGTTCTAGAAAAGTCCGACCAGCTCGACTGTTCAGTGTCAATGCTGAAGGGTTGAATTTCATAAAATTAGAAGTGTTAGCGCTCTTTGAGATAGTCTGATGTCTATAGGTGCTTAGTGTTCGCTTTTCGTTGAACAAAACCATCCTAGGCTGCCCATTATGTTGTTCACAGTGTTTGAGCACACTTGGCGACCTTGTCTGATGTAATCCACTGACAAGTTTCTCAGTACTATGCAGCCTGCATTGACACTGCATAAAGTTCCTACTTTTCGCAACTCCATAATTAACTGTCGTTGCAAACCGTCTGGATAATATACAAGTTCCTTGAGAGATATTTGACGCCTTTTTCGCACTGCACGTGTAGCAAAGCCTGACGAAAGCGGCCATGTTTACAGGGGACCATTCCATTTCCGGCATAGGGACCATTCATTTAGCACAAACAGAAAAAACCCACATTTATAAACATTTAGAAATCGCAGCTTATAAATACTCATAACAGGCAGAAATTAATACCCTATGACATCTTGTTGTATTAATGTATGTGTTTGGTGACTATTAGAGGTAGATTTATTGAAGGTACGTGGCACCCTTACTTCAAATAGATAAACTGCCTGTGTATGTGTATACATGTGTATATAATGTGTATGTTAACCATGTTTGTATATGTGTATATATTTGTATGTGTGTGTGTATGTGTGTGTGTGTGTGTGTGTGTGTGTGTGTGTGTGTGCGTGCGTGCGTGTGTGCGTGCCGTCATATACAAGGCCGTACCACCACCCGGGCTGGCTTCGACACTGATATAGCTGGTGTATAGCTGAGAGCGGCTATAAAACAACAAACCAACCATCCCACTAACCCAATTGCGTGGATCGATACTCATGATGTCAATCACTGGATTGTCGGCCCAGACTCGATTATTTACAGACAGCCGTCATATAGCTGGAATAACGCTGATGGAATTCGTTTCATTTAACAGAAAGATATTCCAGATCTGAACATAACAAGTCTCTTAGCTGATAACGTGGCACATGTACAATATTTACGCCTCGTACCGCTTTAACACTTAGAGGTAGTCATCGAGAGTTCATTTAAAGCTGCTTAATTCCATAGTGCTTGCACTATCATCCTGTATCTATTGTCATTCGGCTTTTCTACACATAGGTTCTAACTCCTAGTCATAACACCGATGTCGCCTGTGGAAAGGGAATTTAACAATCTCATTAAAATCAGATCTTAGTTCTCGCTACCGCTAAACAAAGATCTGAGGACATCCCATTACGGGTCACATCAGACCGAACAATGGAATGACCAATCAGAAGGCAGCTTTCTCGTGCTTTACGGCACAAATTTCAAATTGGCGACTACGCTTCGAAGCATATTTTGACAAATTCTCGATTACAAATTTGAAACCTGAACAAAAAAACATTCTGGAATGACTAATAGATTGTATAGGATTCAGTCATTAAACCCGTAACTATCGTTCGGAATACCCCATGTTAAAGTTTTCGAGATTGCATGATTAGAAATCACATTCCGACTGTCACTTTCATAATCTGATAAGCGACGCACTGATTGGTCGGATGAAAGGTCGTTCTGACGTGACCCCTAATGGGATGTCCTCAGATCTTTGTTTAGCGGTAGCGAGAACTAAGATCTGATTTTAATGAGATTGGGAATTTAACCGCGACGTATTAACGTCACGTGCTATACTTGTCATCCAGCCTTTAAGTGTCGCTTGATGGCTTCCTCTAACCATTAACACAATCAGAAATTGATTGCACGACTTGACTCTCTACAGTCACTTTGCCCATCATGTCCATTACTGCCACACACTTCAAGATATAGCCTTTATTAAGCGAGACACGTTCGTTCCATTCTTGTTTCTTCAAGTGATTAGCCCAGCAGTAACACTCATCATCATCCCCACCACCAAAGCCCTGAGCAAACATGAAGTTGAAGTGTCTGTTTTATTCATAATGTATAAAAGACAACATGTTAACAGTTCACGTATCATTACTGGACTAGTTGTGTCACGGCAGACCACAGCTTCACGTTTGAGATGGTTTTCATACAGTACATCTTATGTTTTGTGCTTGGGCTTTTGTTTCAAGGTAAGTTTCTATACACTTAATTTCTTATATCTTCTCATGAAAACACAAGTATTGGTGATATCTGATAAACGCTGTAAGATTAAACGTTTCTGCGTTTCTCCATGGCATGGGACGACGCTTACACGAGCATCAACTCTTATTATTATGTAGTTTTGGTTTCAAATGTTTGCGAGGAGGCCCATACACCAAGGTCATGCATATGAACGCATTTGTCGAAAATTGAAGATGACGTCTCCCATTGTTCATGACGATATTTAAGACGTGCGTCTTCCAAAAATAGCAATGACCTGATGTCTCCATTGGCATCAAGAACACCACATTGTAAAAGTAGAGACAACTTATGGATAACAACGTCTTTATTTACTGTAAGGCGACGTTTTGGTATATATCCTTAGTTGTTATCCATACATTCTCTCTATCTTTGTCATCAGTCAACTTCTAAGTAATGCCTTACAAACAAGAACACCACATGTTTCTACATTTCTTCAGAGAAAAGGTTGTGGGTAATATGAAGAATATCCCTCTCTCAACTCGAAATTATGGAATATCTTCCCTCGTGAATTTATGTTGAACGCTAAACCTTTCAAAATCAATTCACTAAGTATAGATATTTGTAATTCCTCGTATGTTATTGTCTATGGGTTGTTGTTGGAAACGAGTCAACTCGTTCACACGGAGACCCGTTCACACAATTTACTTTCATTTGTGTTGACCATACGCGTATGGTCCATGTTGTACTGCATTGTTGTGTACAATGACAAAAAGCAATTTAAAAAATTTTGTATAATCATATTTAAGTGGTTTAACTACGCAGTGACAACGCACATGGGTATAACTGCATTTTAGTTGGCCTTTATTTCATTTATTTTAAAAACCCTCACAAACTTTAAAGAATCGTTCAATCATAGAAAGACCAAATTTGACTACGAATGACAAATGCATCGCCACGCCTATTCATGTTATTAGTCAGGCGGTGTGATAGCATGGTGGTTAACATCGACCCGCACACGCGGATCCAGAGGGAAACAAACCCACCACGGTTACGTATATATATTAAGACACCTATAACATTTAAATGACTATTTCTCTGCTAAACAAACGCAATTTTTTTTTTAAAAGATTCAATTGCAACCCAATCTTCCCAATCACCCCACCCCCTCCCCACCAAAAAGCTATCTCCACATTTGGGCCCGGGTCCGAATCCCTTTATGGGTTCAACGTGTGCATCCAATTTCTGTACCCACGCCGTGTAATAATACGGAATATTGCTAAAAGCGGCGTAAATATACTCACTCACACTTGGTTTCAGGGTTGCCCGACATCCTGGCTGCGACATCAACAGACAGTGATGCACTCGTCTGCAACAACACCTTGTCCTGCCAGGGAAACTGTAAACACCGGCGCCAGCAGCAGGGAGTCCGACAGAGCAACCATGTCGTTCATCCACCGCCTTTACCGACCTGTGCATGTGACGACGCGTGCCCGATTTTTGGAGACTGTTGTGCAGACTATTACCACCACTGCAAACCATCTGCACAGACGGGTGATATTCTTCACGCTATATCTAGTTTTGAAATCATCTTCCAAGGAACAGAGTATATACAGAAGCCGTATATTAATGGAGGAGCATCCGCATTTATGGGAAACCGAAATGAGTTGATGACGTTAAGGCCCCATATGAAGTGCACACAAGTCAAGAGTTCAAGCTCCACAACAGGGCATGTATGGATGATCTCAAGCTGTCCGGAGACCTTCCATTCGGACCATACGTCTGAACCAAGTTGTGAGAATCCCGGGAAGAACCCTTTGTTGCAGGGTCCGGTGTCAATTGCCCCCAATCTCATTATATTATTCAAGAATGCCTTGTGTGCTCGTTGTCATGGAATCGGTGAGGATAGTGTCGTACCATGGCCTGTAATGGTTAATTGTCCTAATGGTAAAAATCTGTCAATTCTTGCGCCAAATGTCTCAAACACGTTAAATCACAATGTCATGTCGAAAATGTTAAATTCTCCTGGATGTGAAATCGTGTATGAATCTAACATGTGGCAATTCGTGAGGAACTGTACGCCTTCGAGTGTTGTGTCCGAATGTCCGGAATTTAAGAAGACCTATGGGAACAAATCCACTGAAGCCATCAAACTGAACAATCTTTGCCACCTTTATCTAAACTTCATACGTGACACTAACGGTGTAAAGTACAAGAATGTGCATTGTGCTATGTGTACGCTAGGAGAAAGGTATGCTGCTGAGAACATGTGTTGTGATTTGAAAGAAGAGGGTCTGGTTTTCACAACAGCGTTGAATGAGAAAGTCGATGGGACGATACACTCCACAACAGCTACATCTCCTGAACATGTCAGACCGAAGGTTGCAAGTCTAAAGATCCTGTTTAATTTTGACGGTAATGGGATGAGTTACACAGTCGGGAAGCAGCACTACCGTGTTCAGGAGACTCACAAGCTCTGTAAGCCAGATGAGGTGTATGACACTCTGACTCTATCGTGTACTACTCTGTACTGCAGCCCGGACAAGTACCCTGCAAACGGGACCTGTCACCCCAAGAATAAAGGACACATCCCTGCACATTCCCAGGTGTTTGAGTCAGGACCCCGATACTTTGTCCTTGTGTGTTATGTAAATTCCCTTCCTGGAAGTACTTCAGACGACTTAGAAGACATGTTTCAACGTGTGTTGATTCAAAAGATGAATTACTTTATAGCCAGTAGCTCGAACTTCAAGATCAGGGTTTTAGATTACATCAAGGAGGACATAATGCCCGCTGATAATACAACCATAAGCAGCATGTTACCGTCACTAGATGACTCGAGCCTGGCTATAAAGGTTATGTTGACGTTTCACACTGATAATCCAGCCTCGCTTGTTTTGTCAGCTTGCCGGGACATTTTGAAGTTGTTTCCTGAAGAACTAAAGTTAAAGGCCTGGTCGATGACGTCAGGATATCTCAAAGACTACCGGGAGGATGAACGTATGTCTTGTCCTGCCCTTCACACACTGACTGATTTCAATGCAACTTTGGACACAGATCATCAGCCGTATAATGCTGTTGTAAATTGGACCTATTTTCCTGTTGACAACGTCCCGTTTGTGTACCAGGTCCATCCATTCGTTGCTACTAACTCAACAGTGAGGATCAAAGGTTGTGTGCCAGACCTTAGCTTGCTCCCTGAGTGTGCTTCTCTGCGTTATGACGCAACCCAATACATAGTCACCAATGGGACGCTTAGCTTGCTTCATTCTAATTTAGTGTTTGAGGAAGATGCCTACAAACTTTTCAGCAATTATGCTTATGTCTGTGAGTCAAACCTCACAAGAGACTACATTGAACATACAAGGTTTTACTTCTTCCACTATTCCCGTGTTCAATTTTATCTGACAATTATTACATCTGCGATATCCGTAACCTTTCTCGTAGGGACGTTGATCGTATACTGCTTGCTACCGGAACTGCGGAACGTGCCTGGAAAAATCGTTATGTCTCTGTCTGGAACACTGATGGTTTCTCAGAGCCTGCAGTTGGTAATGACACTGCCGAAAGGAATTCTTTGCGTGGCCGTGGCTGCCGTCGCACACGCCGCCTGGATCTCTACTTTCTTCTGGATGACCATCATAACATTTGACCTTGTATGTACCCTACGAAGTGACCACTTGGTGACGGACACGAAATCCAGACGTCGCAAATACAGTCTCTATGCCATTTTCGCCTGGGTGGTGCCTTCAGTTGCCTGTGGTTGTCTAGTCTGTCTGGACCACTGGAAGTTGTGCGGCATTGACATCAGCTACGGTGCCAATGGCATCTGCTGGATCGGGAACTCTGACGCATTATTCTGGGTTTTTGGTTTGCCTTTCGGCATCTGCTTACTGATTAATTTCACGTGTTTCTGCGCCACTCTGTACATCATTGAGACGAAAAGTAAGATCCACCAAGCGTCAATGTCTGGCCGCCAAGAGAGACAGAAGCTGTTCATCTATGGCAAGGTGTCGCTCATCTCTGGACTCTCCTGGGTGTTCTGTTTCTCCGCAGCTCATGCCAATGTAAGTATTTTGTGGGACTTCCAGATCGTTCTCAACGGACTCCAGGGATGTTATATCTTTCTCGGTTTTGTCGGGAAGCGACGCATACTCAAACTACTCAGAATCAAAACAGTGTCGAAGTTGTCAAAGTCGCCGTCCTCTATTTACACTGGATCTCTCTCCGTCTACAAATGAGTGTATGTGTCGTGGCAACAATTACACGGATTGTTTGTATATATCTGCTTGCGGTTAACAGTCCTTTAACAATGACATATAATCTAGAATGCACGTTTGTGCTTGCTGACTGTCTACGATAATCAGAAAGTCAGTTGTTGTATCATGACAAATAACGATGTGCTCGCTTCTACAGTTGTCAGTCGTATGACAACCCAAGTTTTCACTCTCTCCCTGTCTGCAGAGGATCTCCACAGGTGCATCTGAATTAAGAACACACCGATATATATTTTACTTCAAAATTGTTAAGTATATATTCCTCTGTCTTAATCCTATCAAGTTGATTATAAATAGACTCATAATTCATGTTTAGATTTTGATTGATTTCATGTTGTTGACTTTTTCGATTTTTCGTTTGTTTTTATGGTGGCCGTCTTGGATTTGACCTATTTTGGGTGTTTCCCCAGGTCAAATTTTGGTAAACTATTTTTTTCTTGAAAGTAGACCTGTCAAGGATCTGAAATGCGTTTAAGAAACCTTTTCCCTCAATTTTGTTGAAACTTCATGAAATATAAACCTTTTATTACCAGACTAATAACAGCCTTTAAACAAAGTATGGCGGTGTATATAACTTACTCCAAAACACTGTGTTTCTACTTCATTATATTTATATCGCACATATGACAGTCAGTGAAAGTGTTTAGCACAGCTACTCTGTAAACGTACTTGAAGTGGGCATCGCATAATACATTTTTTTAAAAGCCTTGCCCGTCAATCGTATGACGTTTCGTTTATTGTGACTCAAAGATATGAGATTACAATTGGATATAGCAAACAGCGCCAAATTTCGAGCTCTCTGTTGTCCCCAAAACTGTATACTTTCTCGCACACTCACATTAAACTATTGAGGAAAAGTCGATGATTTTTTATCTGCACATGCACTGCTTGCACTGATCATGCACTGAACATACCAGATAACACATATTCTCATTGTTTTGGTAAGCCAAAAGTGGTTCAGCCTGGTTCCCTGGGTGTGCTGCGCTGGCGCTACACTGAGCGCGAGCGCAGCATACCCAGGGAACCAGACTGATACTGGTTGACGTATTCACGCCGAACCCCGGAGTCTACGTGGTGCAATTTGGAAAGCCCTGTCTTCGTGATCCTCGCTGTGATATGGCTGCAATAAAAAGAAGTGTAAAATCTAACTCAAATCATTCGCCCACCCTAGAAAGTCAAAATGTCGTGGCCGTACGCGATTCAAGACCGCCCCTCCCCACCCTCCGGTATTTTTACTTGGGCTGTAAATCTTTCAGATTCTGAACTAAACCTGTTTATGAAATAATTGTAATTGACTGAGCCTTAATTCGCGGCATGTGAATGTTGATAGTGTAGGGACATATTGAATATTGCCTATTTCCATGGATACGATATTACGGTGCACGGAGATTAGGGTGGTTTAAAAATGAAAAATATGTCAAGGACTGCCTAATTAGAGTGAATGATTTGGTGAGTATAAAACTAAAATCAATATGTAAAACTCTGGCATTTGTTACACACTGAATATACATATGACGACGGTGATATCTGTTTCAATTTCGGTGAATTCGATGAACTATACCAGCAGTATTATTGTAAGACTTTTCTGTTATATAATTATAATAAAGCCAAATAGATCCGTCGTCAACTGATAGTCTCAGAATGTGAATCAACAGCTTCTTCCTGGCAGAGACTCTGATGGTTCTGTAAACGTACACCGGGTGCGAACTAAAATTTGTTTGATGTTTAACGCCGCACTCTGCAATATTCCAGCCATATGACGGCGGTCTTGTAATTTATCAAATCTAGGCAAGGCAATCCAGTGATTTACATCATGAGCATTGATCTACGCGATTGGGATACGATGACATGCATCAACCAAGTCAGCGGTTCTGACCACACGATAACATTAATGGCCTTTTATTACAAGCATGGGTGTGAACTTGTGAAGGTAAAAGAAGTTAAAAAAGACTCGATATATTTCACTTGACTATAGTTAATGTCATGGCTCCTGGGTATTGCAACCTACATCATTCAAATTGTGTGTGTAACTTGTTTTGAATAGTCTATGTGTGATGTTCCATATTGTGATATAAATCTATAACAGCCTGAAGATAATCTCTTTGTTGTTTATTAGCTCGCATAGGTGACACGCATAAAGAAATGTCCATATTTGCTTGGTGCGTACGCATTTAATCGCACAAAAAAGCAAAGCAATATTAACGTTAATAAACTAATTTGAAATCGTAGTTTTGTTGTTGTTTTCTTTGTTGTGTGGCGTTAAACCTCAAACACACAAGGAATTCATAATCGGGAGAGTCCCGTGAGGATTCCAGGTTAGAATTGGTCTTCAGCAACCGAAGCTTGTCCGGGGCGATTACCTGCGGATCGGGTCGTCAGGCTCGCTGACTTGGTTGATGTCATCGTTTCCCAATTGCGTGGATTGATGCTCATGATGTTAATCACTGGATTGTCGGGTCCAGATTCTATTATTTACAGACCGTCCTCATATAGCTGGAATATTGCTGAGTGCGGCGTTAAACAATGAACAAACATACAGACATAAGTTGAGGATCCTGTCATCACCTGTGCAACACCTTTTAACTGTTTATACTTTAGGGTGCGCATCAATGACATGGTATTTAATAATTTGTCGAATGATATTTTCGACGGAAAAGTGTGGTAGGGGACACTGTCGGGATTATATGGATCATAGTAAGAGAGGAGGGGGGAATAAGTATGGGTAGTGACGCCACAAGGGTGAGTCCGCTTTTGAATCATTACTGAATAAACGTAGCGGGTGGAAGTGGCTTGTATGAATGTTCCAAGTCAGTTTCCAGTAGCCAAAATATTCGACACTAGGGCTATAGAATCGATAATACCCACTAAACGGTACCTAACTCTAATGATCGTAGAGCTTGGATTGATTGATCGTAAAGCGGATCCAAGGGCTAATGATAGAGTTCGTTTTATCTAAAAGCCACTAAACTGGTGATTGATCATGGGGGAATCCGAGGGCTAAGGATATAGTTCCGTGTAACATACCTTAACTGCCCAACTGTGTTCAGCGCCAATATAATATACCTAATAATATTCATAATAATGAAAATTATGAATCGAAAAAATAATATATGGATATCAGTTCCCATTTATAATCATTTTAGCCATTTGAATTAAGAAAAAAACGAAATAAAAAAACATATTGAAAATAAAAGTGCTTTCATAAACTAGCTGTTTCTATAAAATGCGCAACCGCATGCTATATTTAGTAAACAAATATTCAAAACTCTTAACAGCCATGGGCTTATTCAACGACATTTCATGTGCAGATGATAGGTCACTGAGTGGAGCTTATGCACACTCAATGACCCCTGACGCCACATGACATTGTTTTGCCGGTGTGACTGGCAACAAGATGCTATAAATTACATGACACACAGTCATAAATAACATAGGCCCACTACATGCCTACTTTACCTGTGAGCAGCTTTAGAATACAGCACCACAACTTCTCGATCTTGAGGGCGATCTCAGTTGTATCTACATGTCACTAAGACAAGGAAATTGGTGTTACTTACACGGGAGCTCGTTTAGTATATTCCCTCCCTCTGGCTCGCTGACTTGGTTGATGTCATCGTTTCCCAATTGCGTGGATTTAATCACTGGATTGTCGGGTCCAGATTCTATTATTTACAGACCGTCCTCATATAGCTGGAATATTGCTGAGTGCGGCGTTAAACAATAAACAAACATACAGACATAAGTTGAGGATCCTGTCATCACCCGTGCAACACCTTTTAACTGTTTATACTATAGGGTGCGCATGAATGACATGGTATTAAATAATGTGTCGGATGATCTTTTCGACGGAAAAGTCACACATATATATATGTTACCGATCACGTTAAACAACGCGCCTAATTACAATCAAACCGGACAACACAACGAACTCCTTCAAAATGTATCCCAAATGTATAAGAAAAAACAAATATATCTGTAAGTCAATATTTTTAGTGATTCGTTTCTTAGTGGGCTTTTTTACATCATATTAGAAGCGAACACTTAAGAAGTCCATCTGACAGCAGTCATTTATAAATACAAAATTTGTAAACATAACACTTTCCAGTAGAGTATGTCGCAGTTGTTCACTACAACGTCAATGTTATGACTTATTTTGGAATATCAGGCGTTTTGATCCTGTTGCGAAGAACACTCTGTAGAAGAAGGCAGCCAGAGGGGATCCAATTAAAGGTCCAACCCAGTAAACATAATGTGACCTGAATGCACTAAGGCTAGAAGATACACTCAGTAAAACTGCAGGTCCAAAACTCCTCGCTGGGTTCATTGATCCACCCGTAGTATTGAAAGCTGCCAGGATTCCAACAGACACAGCAAATCCGATCGCTAGAGGGGCGAACTTGGTCTTTGTAGATTCTTCAACACTAACAAGAATTACAGTCAGAACCAGTACAACCGTGATAAGTGTTTCACACAGAATTCCGCGGCCTGGGTCCACTTTAGTGAGAAAATGTGCTCCGCCGTAAATTATTTGGTAGACACTGTCGAGGAGAACTGCTCTACACAAACCAGCACCACATATACCACCAAGGATCTGGGCGATAACATAACCGAGTGCAAGGAGTGGGGATATACCACCAGCTAGAGCCACACCCACAGTAATGGCTGGATTAAAATGACCTCCACTTATTTTTCCAAATCCCATAATAAGGACCGTTGATGTCAGTCCGTGAGCTAGAGCTACTGCAGACGCTGAAGAAACTTGAGACTTGACTGTGAGAGTATCCTGTGTCGACATACATCCGATAAACACAAAGAGGCACACTCCTAGAAATTCAGCCAAACATGGGCGGATGACTGAATTAAAATAGCTAGAAAGTTCGGTCTTCTTCTCAAGTAGAGGGTCACAGTCGTTTAAAGTTGCCTTTTCCATAACTCAACAAAGCTCTGCCGTGGAAATAATTCAGAATTTTTTAACGTTGTAGTTGGCGGTGACGTCACACTCCTTCCGAACGTAATACATCAGTCTATGACGTCACAATTGTCATGACGTAACCTTTTCTAGGTTTGTCGAACGATCCTGTTGCTGTAATCGCTGGTTTGTATACACCATGCTTATTTAAGGTTGACTGTGTATTTTTTTCGGTTCATTGGGGTATGAATCGAAAAACCGATGTGCAAACTATATGAATCCGCGTATATCAAAGCAGTCAAAAATGACGAGATTGATAAACATTCCATGTGTAGGAATACATACACACTCCATCGCAGTGGTGACTCAGCAAATAGTAAAATCGCATTCGGGACCCGAAGACATGTGTTAGACTCAGTTACAAGACGACAAAACAACAGATGGAACGAGACCAAGGGAACATGAAAGGATTAAATTATATTAAAAGATAACTACGCGATAAATCGCAAAGAAAAACGAAGAACGAAGCGTGGTTTATTCTCCCAGCGGTGTTTTATTGTACGATAAACAATTATATACATAATTATAATAAATATATGTATATATACTGTAAATCGTGAAATTAATGCGTCTCCAAAAGAATGCGACCGCTTGCCCCTTGCCAATAATGCGACTCAATATGAATCTCCTACTACCCCCCCCCCCCCCCCCTTCTCAAGCATCAGTGTGGATTTATGTCTAAAGAAAATGTCATCTGTCAGGTTTACAGGAGAATCCTCACCCTCATCCAACCTTACATTAATCCAATCACACACCAAACAGCAGCGCTCATTTGCACTGATTAGGGTACTTCCGCTAAAACAATACATGCGCACTGGCTCGTGTCGGCCTTTGACGCAGTCGCAAAGAACAAAGACACCGTGTTGCGTGGGTGGCGTCTGTCTGGACTTGCAGGTGTGATCACTGATGACCAAAGTGTGTAGAACTCTTGTCTTGACCCCAGCAGTGACAATTCACAGGATGTAATTAGTGTTTGAATGGCATTGTTTATATACTTGTTACAAGTGCTGCTTAATAAACAGTGATGTGGAATACATAGTTGTCTGTTTTCACCGTATGTCTGAGTTGGTATTTCTGCTATCCAAAATGTCTTATTGTTGATATAAATGCGTTGTTTAATAATGCGAGCAAAGACCCCTCGCAATTCACACTCGCGTTAATTTCAAGATTTACAGTATATATATATATATATATATATATATATATATATATATATATATATACTGAACAGCATTGAAAACGCACCAGCAATAAATCTTGAAAATTACAAAAACAACTGTAGCAATGACCGATTTTGATTAGAACAGACATAGACGGATTATTAAGAAAGACGACAAAAGAAACAGGAATACCACACAGTAATTACAATTACGTCATCAGTGTAAGGAAGACACATAGGGTTAAAATGAAAAGTCAATATCTGGTATGTCCGCCATTGACAGCAACTCATTGATCGAATAAGTCTGCGAATAGTGTTCTGGGGCATTCAACTCTTGACGTAGTGTATCTTCAAGTTCTCTCAGGTTCTGTACTTGCGGACGACGTGAGAGGCGTTGACCCAGGTAATCCCATAGATGTTCAATTGGCGATAGATCGGGTGACAGGGCTGGCCATGGAAGCAGAGGCACATTATTGTTCGCTAGGTACAGTGTTGAAACAGGTGCTGTGTGCGCTCTTGCATTATCTTGCTGGAAGGTGTGCATATCCTGGTGCTGATGAAAGAATGGGATGACGTGATTTGCCAATATGTTATTCCTATAGTAAAGGGCATTAACTCTTGCACGACAAACATGGAGCTCTGTTCGATTGTTATGACTGATGCCGCCACACACCATGACACCCCCCCACCCCCGCCCATCGATCTATTTGTACAACGCAGTCATTGTGGTAACGTTCTCCACGTCGACACCACACTCGCAGTCGACCGTCAGCATTCCGTAAATGAAAACGGGACTCATCAGAGAACAGCACACCATGCCACGGCCGCAATCTCCAATGACGTTGCCTTTTGGCCCAACGCAGACGTTCATTTCGATGTCGATCGGTGAGTATGGGTCCAACATGTGGACGTCGAGCATGTAGCCCTGCTGAGAGGAGACGTCGACGAACGGTGTCAGCACTGAACAATTCCGTCGGCCTTGGACGGTTGCTGCAGTCCTGGTAGCCGGAAGTGTACGATCACGACGCTGCCGACGAACAATATGGCGATCCTGACGAGAGAATTAAGTTGAATTCACCAAACACTAATTCTTCAATCATTTGACATTATTGTTTACTTTGTGTAACTGCATGACTGTATTGTATGCACACGTAATGTAAACCGCCTTAATCTCTTAGAGTTTTATATTATCACGAATAATGAAAAATCTGCGACTGCATATAACTAAAGTAAAGAGTTCACGCACGACGTCGTTAAGAATTAATTTTTTGTGCTTAGAATTGATCCGCGACAACAGCAGATTCTTATGGCGCATCCAATATCCAGGTAACAAATGGATTTATCCAGAAACTATTTGGCGTATGGAATTAGTTGTGATTGTTTCTATCACGATCTACTCATTGGTTGGCACTGACCATCCCTCGCTCTGAGGAAGTTGCAGTTGGCACAAACCACACCCCGTGACTCACAGAGACAGTTGTGAGGCGGATAGTCTCAACATGGAGAAGTACATCCTTTTTATGATTCCATGGGTTTGGAAATTGGGTAAGATTTTAGATATTTTCTCAGTAGGAATGACTTATAATCGTAGATTAAAATATATTAGAGAATTTAGGATATAGGAGATTTAACGCGCGCTTTCCGACTGTAGCGTATTTCGCACACGGGCCTGGCCGGGCCATTAAGTGTATTGCGAAAAGGGTGAAAGTGGTGTGTGCACGCCAAGAGGGGGCTTTTAGGGATTGCTTACATTGCATTTTTGGAATTTTTAAATTTGGAATTAATGCCATGAAGCAGAGAACATATATGCAAGAACAACCAAAGGAATGGGATAACAAAGGTGGAAACTTAACAAGGGAAGCCAACCGTTATTTTGTCCTGATAGGTGTTTAGCAATGGGCAAATGGAAAGGAAATAATTCCGGGGACTGGTGGCAGCTGTGTTAGTGAGGTACGGGTGACAAGTTGCTGAAGTCAATGGCACTGTTAACGCCTTTTTGCTGAAAGGACCTTCAGTTACGGCGGGTATATTTTTTCCAGTTGTATACCGTGTATCAAAGTTTTATTTGAATCGGTAGGTGGTCGTGGGTGTATAAAAGAAGGTCGTCATTCCGATTTGGTTTTTTTCTGATTTTTTTTATTATTAAAATCGGCGGATCAGTAAACCAAGCAAAATATATAATAAATATAAATATAAATATAAACCCAGCATAAGTCCGGACAAGTACAAGCAGCCAAATACAAAATAGGTGCAAAAATCGCGAAGCAACGTTAATCTATTACGCCTCACCTCATTTCTGGTGAGCCAGGGCAGCCAGATTGTCAGGACTTATTAGTAAGAGTAAGAGCCGTATTCGACGTAATAAGCGCCCCGCTCTAATAAGTGCCCACGGCGATATTTGCGAATATATTGGCTAGTGAACAATCCCATTAGCACCCCTTCCGATTGATCAATGTACACAAGACTTATTTATTCGTGTATAATACGCACTCATGCGTTATATGCACCCTTAATTATGGGCAATTAAATTCTGGAAAATATATCTGTCGTGTATAATACGCACAGACTTTTCTTTTGTATCATTTCAGGCTGTTGGCATAAACAACGACATTTACGATCTGGTTTTTTTCTCACCAAAATAATATTCTAATAAGAGCCCCCTATTTCTAATTTTGAGAGCGCCCTTAGCGCTTATTGCGCCGAATACGGTATTTGAAATTGATACTGGTGTTCCAGATTTAAGCGCGGCACTGGTAACACGACAACCCGCTGTGAGGTACGTTGATTAGTCGGTCCATAGTCCGATGTCTGTTGTTTTGAATACCGAATTGTCATGATTATGATCCTTGGTTAGACTGAGACGCCTATATTGTTCAATATGTTTGCATCAATAAAAAATGCATCATGGTATTTTCAGGATTTATTTCAACGTTTCTTAAGACAATCTTCTGAACCTATATTGATAACCATATTTCTTTAAATCTTAAGGATATTTAATTAATATGAACGACAATCAGTCAATGTCCTAGAAAATGAACCGAAAGTCCGTGCAATCAGAGTTAATTCGAGATGGAGTATCTACATGCATTAAGAACATACTAATAATAGTAATGATAATGTGTGACAGTGAATGTTTTTGAACGCCGCACAAACAGTATTCCAAATACGTTTTTCCGCGGCTTGTAGTTATCGATTCGCAAGCAAGCGCTTGATATATTCAACAACAAAAGTTCCTGTGACACCAATATTTTAGTGTATTTTTCAAACATGTAAAGTGTGGTTTTCAGTATTGTAGTACATGTATCGAATCAAGTCACAAAATCGCAACTGCTACAGAAAAGCATGCATTCCATGCAAAAGTTGACTTTTATGCAAGCCCCATGCATTTCACTACCCAAGAATGGGTATAAAAACATGTGCGTTAACGGGATTCCATATGCATTGTTTAGCATCGTGCTGACAACAACCACTCAGAAAAACAACAAAATTACGCAATTGTTCAACATTACGAAATGCCTCGCCTGTCCGAATATGCGCGTCTGCGAGCCATTGGTATGCTTGAAGCAGGATCGAGTCAACGTGATGTTGCAAGACAATTAAACGTCCACAGAAACACCATTTGGTGTTTATGGCAACGTTGGCAACAGACGAATGCAGTCAGAGATCATCCTCGGAGTGGCAGGCCACGCGTAACCAATAATCGACAAGTCAACTGGATACGAACAACACATCTACGAAATCGATTCCAGCCAGCAACAATGACTTCAAGAGGCATCCCTGGCCTTCACAAACCGTACGTCGTCGCCTCAGATGTGCAGGGATTGTCGCCAGAAGACCCGCCAGACGTCCCATTTTGACAGGAAAC